CGAGGAGACGCGGGGAGAAGGAAGGAAGTTCCGCACAACAGTTCTGGCAGAGGAAAATGGCTGAGCGCAAATCCACGCCAGCCCACCTCGCCGTTCGTACCGAGTCACGCCGCACGCCGGACCCCGCCGCCTCTCCTTTCTCTCCCCGTGAGTTAAAACAAAGGACGAGCGGCCCGGGGGGCGCCGTGCCGGGCCGGCAGCACGGGAGGGGCCGCGATCAGCCCGACCCGCGGCCCGGCAGCCCTGCGCGGCCCCATCCCCGCGCGGCCCTTCCCGGCCGGGCTCCCACCTCCGCCCGCTCCACCCGGGGCCGCCCCCCGCGGCCTCCCCGCGCCGCCCCTTCACCCCGCTTCACCCCGCCGCCATCCTCGCGCCCGACTTCCCCCCCCTCAGTCCCCCCCTCCGGGCCCCCCCATCCCCGCCACCCCCGCGCCGTCCCCCCCCGCTGCCGCCCCCGCTCGCGGCCTAACCCCGCCGCCCCGCCCCGGGCCTCGCCTCGCCCCGCCGGGCCCGCAACAGCCGCCCGCACGCGGCCGGGCCGCCCGCCTACCTCCCACCCGGTACATGTTGGCGGCCATGCCCGGGACGCGGCCGGGTGCGGGGCGCGGGCCGCTCCCGCCGCCTCCTCCTCCTCCTCCTCCTCCTTCTCCTCCTCCAGGTGCCGGATCCGCTGGAAAATGGAGGCTGAAACGGCCGGGCGGGGGAGGGGAGCGGGGGAATTAAAGGGGCCGCGCCGGCTGCCGCCCGGCCGCTGGAGGAAGGCGGGAGGGCGGCGGGCGGAAGGCGGGGCGGCGGCGGGACGGGAGCGGCGGGAGGGAGGGGAGGAAGGAGGCGGCCGCCCCGGAGCGCCGCGTGGGGCGGAGAGCGCCGCGCCCGGCCTGGGGGAGCCGAGCGGGGACGGGCGGAGCGCCGCGCCTCACGGGCGGCTCTGCGTGGCCGTGCGCGGGGCGGCGCTCAGCGTGCGTGGCTCCGCGTGCGGCGGGACAGCGGGACGGACGGGCGCCCACGAAGCGCACCGCGGGCCGGTCTTCCCGGGTGCCGAATTGGGTTTTTATCGGCGGAATCTCGGCGGATCGCGGGCGCCCCGTCTCACGGCGCCCGGACGCGAGAGCACGGCCGCGGCCCCGGCGTTACGCGGAGCGGGGCTGAGCCTCGTCCGGCCCCCGCTCGCTGCAGCGGGAGGAAGGGTCGGGGACCGCGAGGTAGAGAGCGCAGGAAAAAGCCGTGCTGGGCTGTCAGCGCAGCCCGATTTCCTGCAGTTGAGGCCCCGTGGGAGCCGGCGGGCATCCCCCTGGAAGGCACGTCAGCGTTCCTCGTCCCACGGAATCACAGAATGGGCAGGATTGAAAGGGACCTCACGGATCATGAATCTCCAACCCCCCTGCCGCATGCAGGGCCACCAACCTTCCCACCTAACGCTAAACCAGGCTGCCCAGGGCCCCATCCAGTCTGGCCTCGCCAAGCCCCGTTAGCCCACTCCCAGCCCGCAGCCAGCTCAGCGCCTGCCAGCCCTGTATCCCTGTATCCCCCCGTGCTGGCTGTGGCACCCAGCGGCTCTTCCTGCAGGAGACAACCGCCCAAGGTGCCAAACGGCCCCTGCTGACAGATGACTCCAGGGGCGGGTATGTGCTTTCATGTCCAGTTTTATTAGTGTTGCATTAGTACCATAAAATAGTTGACGAGGTCGAGCACGTTGCGGTTTGTTCAAAAAAAAAAAAAAAAAGAGCTATTTACATTTAATCTGTCTTCATAAAAAAAAAAAAAAAAGAAACAACTGAGAACCCAAACAATACAACAATGAAACAGATGGACAACTCAGGAATCTACAAAGTGGTAACGTCCCCTCTCGTGCTGCGGCCCAGGCAGGGCTGACAGCACAGCACACAGCATCCACAGTGCTTCCCCACCACCGCGGCACGCAGCCGGGCAGACAATGCCCTGCAGTGCTGAGCAGGTGACTGCAGAGCAGTGTTTTTCCCTATGGAAATCAAGGACCTGCTGATTGGGGATGGAGGCATTGCACCCATTGTTGCTCCAGGATCCCCACCTCCGCCCATCCAGCAGCAGCCATCAGCTTAGCTCCTCTCAACAGGATCTTCCTTTCAAGCTTTGAGCCACAATGTGCAATGCCCCAAGTCCTGGCTCTGCACTGCTCCCTCCGTGCCTGTTGCTGGTGAGAAAGGACCAGGGGGAGCCTTCCTGCGTGAGCTGCTTCCCACTGCAGCTGAGGAAACTCACAGGGCCTTTGCTGCAGTAAAGGGCCATTGCTGCCAGGTAAAGAACAGGCCGGTGGGTTTTGGCCAAACAATGACTGCATGCTGACAGCACATCTCCTCCAGCCCCAGCAAACCTCCACCTGTGCTGGATTAAGTCACAAACACATGCCAGCAACACGGCAAAGCCCAGCCGAGGAGACAGTGGCTGTCCCCAAGCTCATGGGTAATTAAGGACTCTGCAGCTACTGCTGAGATGGAAGCGATAACAATTTCTGTGGATGGCAGCTGCAGTGTGGAGCTGAAAAGCCACCCAAAACCCCATGTGTGCAGCAGGACAGGCGGCAGGTGACAGGCCCCAGGGCTGGGGACGAGCCACAAAATCCAAACCAAAGGACCAGCAAGCACAAGGTGCAACACGATGCCACAACACCTTCCATCTCTCGTCTGCTCACCAGTGCTGTAAAACTAGGTCAGTGCTACAACAAGCCCTCACCTCCAAGCAAGGTGGGAGCCCTTCTCCCAACAGTGTTACCATCTCCCTCCGGTGTTACCCGGTGAATTCAGGTGTACAAAGTTACACCAAAACACAAACTAACATGAAATGCAACGAGTGCTTCTTTCACACATATACACTCACACACACACACAGTAGAGCAGGGCAATGTACACGTGACAGGCAGGACCCAGCAATCCTGCACCAGCTACTGCCCGTTTCTTTACAGTAGGTTGAAACACACAGAGGAGCACAGCGTTCAGTCATTGCAGCAGGGCTGCCCGTCCCATGCCTGCCACAGAGCTGCCGGGCTGTGTGTGGTGCCCAGAGATGGAGCCCAACACTCAGCTCCTGCCACAGCTGTGGGAGCCTCAAGGAAGAAATCTCACACTAATTTCCTTTGAAAGGGGTTTTTCGATTCAACAGCCTCAATACAATTTAAAAGAAAGAAAGAAAGAAAAAAAAAAGGGATGTGCTTATACACCATCTCCCACGCTGCTGCTGCTAGGCAACGCTACGCAGTCCTACAGCATCAGCTCAGGTCAGCCAAAACCACAGGAGTAGATGGACAAAGCGATGTGAGTTGAGCCCTGCCCCAGCTGTGCGCCGGCAGCTGAGAGGCAGTGCTGTGGGAAGGGGCAGCGGGAGCATGCACACAGCCTGCACAGCATCCTCCTCCCCTCTGGTCACCGGGAGGATTTCATTAAATCAAAGCCAGCAGAGCAGCCCAGCCCTGAGTTGCAGCAGGGACCACGCTCTCACCTTGCTCCCCGTCAGCCCACCAGCAGGGCAGAGCAGGACAACACAGGTTCTGCAAACCTTTCAGAGAAAAATACAACTGACTGAGCAGCCAAAGCTGGGAAAGGCTCTAAAGCATCCCTGTCCTCCAACAGCACATTCTGAAAACGCCAAGGTGTGCCAAACAAGCAAAAGCCAGGCCAAACAGAGCCCAGGCACAGGGCACCCAGCTGCCCAGAGATGAAGAACCCATCCAGCTTCATCCATTGCCCTGTCCCACCTGTAGTCTCCGCTGCAGCGCAGGACCACATCACACAGCAAAGCTCAGCCTGCAGCAATGCCCTACTGAGGACAGGATGCATCCCATAGAGAAATGAAGCAGGGAATACTCCCACAGCAGACAGATCAGCAGGACAACTTCCTACAGCTTGCAGGTAGTCACCTGCCCCCTGCAGCTCTGTTACAGCCTCACAGTCCCTACAAGGAGAGGTGCTGGGTGGCTCAGCTGGGCATGACAGCAGCACACCCAGGTGCAGACAGCACAGTCCGGGGCAGGACAAAGGCAGAGAAGATGAAGCAGCCCACACACACTATCTCACATACGCGGTGTGACAGATGGATGGGCAGGCAGCTGGACTTGCAGAGCACCTGGCTGGCTGCGGCTCCAGCCGCTACACCGGTGGATCACTTCACAGGCAACGGCTCATCTTCCTGGGTTTGGTAGTTTTATTTTTTTCTTTTTGGCAACTTGGTTTTTTTTTTTTCCTCTTGTTTTTTTTTTTTTTTATTTATTTGTCTTTTTTCTTTTTTAAGAAAGCATTAAAAAAAATTTGCGGCTATTAAAAAAAAATCCTTTCCCCTTGGAGGCTGGACGAGGTTTTATTGACAAGTAAATAATTGGTGTGAGTATGTAAATAGCAGCGACCCCACTGACGTGGTGTCCCTCAGCAGCACTGCAGGTGACTGGCTCGGTTTGGTCATTGTCACAGACCAGGGACAGCAGAGGTTCCTTACACCTTGTGTTTCCCCAGTTCCTGCTCCTGCCCAGCCTTCCTCAGGCAGCACTGAACGCAGACACCTGCCCAGCCCCAGGGCAGACCCCATGTAGCACAGGGCAAGTTCCTCTCTGCCCCTCTCTAGCTCTGCAAACCACCGGTTTGGTTTTCAAACCGGACAGCTGGACGCCCTGCAGACTCGCTGATCTCTCATCCTTTGGCAGCAGGAAGAAAGACTGGCCATCGGTTTTCCTAGAAATATGGAGAGGGAGGGGTCAAAACGCATCGTAACATGCAGGATCTTCTGCAAAATCCACGGCTCCCCCAGCCCACACACACCAATGAGGTCTCAGGTTAATAAGCAGTGCAGTTATTCAGCTATCTGCTCTGAAGTGGGAGGTGTTTGGGCAGGTTGCCTGCTCCTGCCAACTCCCCCACAGCTTTGTTGACAGCACATCTATATTTAAGACTGTTGTTGTTGTTTTTTGCCTTTGTTTAAAGGGGTTTCCTTCCCTTGTAGTAAACTTAAGAGTTAATAGAAAAAAAGTAATTCAAAAGTAATCCAAGCACATCTGTAATTAATTCTGCAGGAGAGGGCAGAGCGATGCGAGTCGAGTTGGCACGCAGTTCCTGGCTCCTGGTGTGCAGTCCCTGGGATGGACAGAGATCCCTCCGAGTGTGGCTAGAAGTTAGATTTGGAGTGCCCAAATATGCAGATGGGAAAGTGCTTGACATGAGAGGACCACTGTGCTGCCAGTTGAAAGAACTTGACGTCGTTCCACTCCACTCCGTCGATCAGGACTACAGAGGAAGGTTTAAAAAAAAATAAAATAGGTGAGTTAGAAAACAGCAAGCGTAAGTGGTCAGCCAGAAACTGCTTTGCTAGAAAACTCCCTACAGTCAGCAGAGGGAGGCCTGGCTACATTCTGTGCTCAGGGTGTGAGCTGCACTGCTCAGCCAACCCACCACTGTCGCTACACATGGTGGAAGAGCAGACCAGTGATAAGGAGAGCAGCTCAGACTGCTGCTCCAGCAGCACTGACACTGGAGCTTCCCAGACTGCTGATTTCAGCTTCACCTGATCTGATCTCTCCAATTTCCCAAACACTCTCTACTTTCTTTTTTGAGCAAACATGCTCTTATGGAGACAGACACATCACACTTTTCACCAGGGGGTCTCTGCCTTTCCTGCAGAGGTGATGTTCTGCAACCACCCCCCACTCAGCAGTCTCACAGGGACTGGCCAGAATGAAGGAGGGTGACCTGAGAAAATTTCTCTTCTGTTAACAGTGCTGGGAATTATTAACTGAACAGGCAAAGAGGATATTTTTGAAATTGGATACACAGCTCCCCTGACAAACACTGCTAAGTTTGCCTGCAGATGTGAGCACAGCTTACTGCCATGGTATGCCTCCGTGCCAGATCTCTGCCTGGAGGAGCAGGAACTATTGTGGCTCTCTCTCCATCACCACTTCCTGGACGTGCACAAGAAACACTGAACTACAGAAGTGGAGCCTGGCCCAGCCTTTGTCCTCACCCAGAGTCCTAGGAGAGGAAGGACTTTCCCACATCCCAGACCTATAAAGCAATACCCCATGCTGGCTCCAGGAAGACCCCATTACACTGGCTCCAGGGCATAGGGCAGCTACGAGGGCAGCTCCTTGCCTGCAGGAAAACAGCTGGCAGCTGAGGCTCACCCCAGAGCCAAGGGGATGCAAGCTGTACATACCCCGCAGCATGTTCTGCTGATGCTTCGCTGTGCAAATCAACCTGCTGATTCCTTCAATGCACTGGCTCTTTGACTCAACCTCCTTGTCTTTTGTTTTCTTGGGTAAAAACATCACTGGAAGAAAAATCAAACAAGCAAACAATTGAATTTCAGCTGCTCACAAGAGATGCACCAAGACTCACTAGTGGTGTTGTGTTATTTTTTTTTTTTTTTATTTAAATGTTCATGTCTCAAAGTACTAATTGAATTTGTTTCTTACTTTCTTAGTAGGAATTTGGCAGGACCATTTAGCAGGACCATGCCAGCACCCTGCACTGCCATCTATGCACATAAAGACTTCAGGCCCAAGTGTCTCAGCCTGGGGCACGAGCTCCCTCCTATCTCACCCAGCATCCCACGCAAGCAATAAGGAACACTGCTGTGGACAGTGTCCTGTGCATCTCCAGCCCTTCTACATAGTCACCCACAACTGACCTTTTTCTGTCCCCACTGTTGTTCCTTTGAGCTATGCCATCTTAGCTGTTCAGCTGTGAGCATGGACACATCTCTTTACAGCACAAAGAACCACCACCCTTTCAAACTAACACCTCATTGAGCCACTTCCTACCCACAGACAGACTAGGATCTGGGGACTGACTGTAACGCAGGACTGACAAGTCAGCCCCGGGGCTGCAGAACAAGGAGAGCAGCACTGCGTTCTTGGCCTTTGGCAACGGTCAGCATGTCTACCTTACCTTTCTTGTTCTTCTCCTTTGTCACGACGGTCATGGACATGGTTGGAGTGGTGGCGATCTCCCCGCTGGCAGGTAACCTGCTGACCTGGAGGGACCGGAAAGTGCATTTCAGTGTGTTTTTGGTAGTGGAAGGGTCCTTCTTCTCCGGGTCTCTCTTTCTGTCCATGGGTGGAGCTGCAATCCAGTAATCCACCTGCAGGCCCATCAGCTCAGCACCAAGGCCCTGGCTAGAAAACAAGAGAAGAAGCTCATTTCTGCACGATGCTCAGCAGAGTTCTCTCACTGTCTGGTCAAGAGCGGCAGCCACTGAAAAACATAGCTGGGGAGAAATGCTTGGCTCTTTGTGAAATCAGGCAGCAACATTTCTTGGTGAGATCCATGAGTCACAAACACACCAGAAGTCATCACTGAGTGATGCAGCCCGGGTCACATTACAGGGTGGTAGCAGCTCAGCAGCACAGCGCTGCAACAAGCCCGAATGAGCTGACCTTCTGCTCAGCCATGGAGTTAAGCAGTGGGGAAGGGATCAGACAAACCACTTCCCGACATGGAGTGCAGTGACCCAGCTAGCAAACCTGACCCCTGAGGCGGCCCAGGGTCGCTTCCAGTCTTCAAGAGAGGATGAGAGGCTGTAAGCACTTACTGGCTACTGCCTCCCAAGCACTGATAAGTGAATGGCCTGGCCAGGCACAGCATTGCCAAAACCATCTCTGTCTGAATTACTTCCAACTCCTATGTCCCTGATCTCTTTCTGTCACCAGCTTCCTTCCTTCCTGTTCAAATGCTTCACCAGGTCACACAGCACTCCTGCTCTTTCCAGGTCCCTGTTAGGGCACGGAGCAATCTGCTTCACAGCCCTGCTGCTGGCTGGGGAATTCCTGTGCTGGGTAAATGCTTCACAAGCCCTGTGATGTTTGCTAAACAATGGCAGATTTCAGGACATGATGTGCTATTGAAAACTCCCGCGCATCATGTGGCAGCAGACGTGTCACCAAAACACACTGTCAGCCTTTCTAAAGCCTGAAAAGGGAAGATGAGCAACCTGGGAAATTCCACCACCCTCTCTGCCTGCCCCTTCCTCACACTACCCAACCCCTGTACTTCTTTCTACACAAAGATAGAGTTAATTAACATGCAAGTACTGACAAAAACTGATCTATCAGTCTGCTGACTAATTATATTTAACGGGGTCTCATTTAAGAAATGGTAATTGTTTAAAAAGAGATTAATTGGTGCTCTTGAATGAAATAAGCATTCCTCTACATCACTTGCGTAATCAGAAACTCTCACGTAAAATAAGGATAGACCACTGCTAGTCTTCTCTGAAAATCATTTCCTTTATCAGTTATTCAGCTGAAGCCAGACAGCAACAGAGTTCATCCAGGGCCACCAAAGCCAGGGTTTGGCTTCTGAGTACAGTTTCAGAATCAAGATTGTTTTAAGGATTTTTCACAGCACATTTCTCATCTCAGTTGTAAAGCTGGTCCCAGACACAACCTTTAGTTCTATCTTTGACTAAACAAGTGGCTCAATCTTTCAAGTTTGGATCATCCTCCACCTCCTGTGCAGTCACATCCAGATCAGTGGAGATGAAATAATGTTGAACCTAAACTTCCTCTTAACAGCCTGCACTCCTGGGGATACAGGTTCCCAAACCACTTCCCCATCTGAAAAGCCCACATGGATCTCCTGCAAGGGATGTCAGCTCTGCCCTCGAGAGCCTGCATAGTCCTCGCAGCACCAAGCAGCTGCAGCTGGGACTCTCTGGGCAGGGAGGGCTCTCCCAGGGGCCGACAGCAGGGATTTGGTAAGTAGGCTCCTGGGGCAGGCTGAACCCACTAATACCTTCCACTCACTGGGCATGTGCTAATCCAGGACTTCCACATTTCCAGTTCCTTTTGCTAAAAAGAAACTTTGGCCTCTGATTTCTAAAATTGGCTTGAAAGGACCCCACGGGGCTCTCAGGGATAAGTAGGAAAGGGACAGTAGGAGACGCTGTTTACAGCCTCTAATTGCAGAGCACTCTCTGACTTCCTCAGTCTGACGATCACAGGGCTAAGGATGTCAGAGGGGACATCCCTGCATCATCCTCTGGTATCTATTAACAGATCTGCTATCCATGAATTTGCTTAACCCCTCTTTGAACTGCCAATCCTGCTGCTGCAGAAGTAGCAGAGGGAAATGTGGTCCCTACACACCTTCCTGCAGTGTGCAGAAACCCCTTCCTTTCTCTTTACAATGGACCTCTTGTTAATTTTATGTGTGCCAAGGTCTTGTACCACAGGTATGGTAAAATACAGTTCAGCATTCAGCAAATCCAGCACCACTACAATTCTGCAAAACGTGAGCATCTTACCTCTGTCTCCTCTTCCCCACAACTGCAGGATCCAAGCACTTCTGGCCTGTCCTTATAAGATGCTGCTCTATCCCCTTGATCATGTTACCTGTGCTTCTTTGAAAGTGCAACTTCATCAAGTGCTTCTGGAGGTGGGTACCAGAACTGCACAGCAAGAGCAAGATAGCTACACCAACACTTTGTGTTGCAATGAAAGAGTCCTCACCAGGCAATTCTTTGCTGGCAATCTTCTGCTGGTTTCCTCCCTTTAAGTCTACACATTTCAACTAAGGCAGAACTTCACGTTGCCTACAGGTGCTATTGCCCTGCTATTCAGATATGCTCTCAGGCAGTTTGCATTTACATTTTGCCACCTTACAACTATCCCACGTCACAGAGACAAAGCCTGCTATTTCCAGTGAGTCACTCTGACTTTACAGTTTCTTGGTCCTTATAAACCTTGGTCCTGTTTTATAACAGCTGTGAGGGATTAAGCCAGCTACAGAACAGGTATCTGGGGATTAGGGTCAGTATTTTATTTAGCTACATAACTCCCCAGCAGAATTCAGTCTCAAAGGGAAATTTCCAAAAGACGGAGAACACAAACCTTCTCAAACAGGTTGCCACAGAATCACGGTTTCTACCAGGCCATCAGAAACAAAAGCTGCCCCTTCTCACTGAACGTGTCTGTCCTTGAGAAATGTTTCTATCAGGCGTAAGATCCCCTTCTACCCTCCTCAGCTACCATGGGGCCAGCAAGGACCAGAGGCGAGAGAGGTGACATATTCAAATGTTTGCTGAGAAGGAAGAAGGCAGAGCAACAGGCTTTCCTTCTGGAGCTTTCCTCCTTCCTGGATATATCATAACATAGACAAGGGGGGGTGTATGAGACAAAACATGCTTTACCTTGAGGATGAGAAGCTGCCTGTGACAGACGGTGAGGAAGGTGGTGTGGGGGAGGCTTCTTTCACAGCAGGAGATACAGAAGGTGGGGTAGAAGAAAGGACACTGGAGCTTGAGGGAGCTGCATCATCAGAGTCACCTTCAGAGAGAAAGCCAAGCTGTTTGTTTGGGTTTATCTCACAGCCCAGCATGTGCACACTGGGATAGCTCAGTATCTTTACCCACACTCATGCTGTACACATCTCTGTACTGGCTTTGTTCAGATGCAACCCAGAGATCAGCTAGCCCATCAGTTGTGACTGCTCCACACCTACAGCGTGGGACTGCCTATGTCTGGGTAAGAGGCAGAGACATTCACAATGCTCTGAACTCCCCACTGGCATCTTCTCTCCCAGCATTTGTTCTAAGGTTCCCAGCTGATTTTTGATTAGGAAAAAGAATTGCTGATTAGTAGTATGTGAAGGAGGAAAAAAAGTTTACACTGAAAAATGTCACTACTCCATCAATAGGTGTAAACACGCATAAACAAGCTTTTCACTCCCACATTAAAACATTTGGACCAAAATTTGTTGGACTGTCAAACTGCTGCCTGTCTTGGAGTTCGCAGTCTTGGGCACATGTTTGAGACTGAATTTGTTAGGGAATGGAGCTTTCTCTCCAGTTGGAAGTAGGAAACCTCAGTAACCATGAATCCATATCGCATACACATACAAAAAATGGGTGTTAGCTCATATCTGAGTGGAAGTTTCCTGGATGAGGGTGTGGGAATTTCAACTAGCCTGAAGCTCCTTGACAAGTACCAAGAAAAAGGAGTTCTTGAAATACAAAGGACAGCAACTTTGAGTTAAATGCAACAGAACTGAGAGCTAACACAAGCAATTTCATCTTACAAAAACCTCAAGACACAAGCAACAAACGGGTCTTTCTAGCCTGTGAAATCAGCCTCCTGCAATGTGTGTGACACCACAAACACATATGAGATGCTTGTTACCTGACGTTGCAGAAGATTGTTCCACTATTCCAACCTTCACCACCTAGAAAGGAAAGACCAAACAGGACAACTCTGAAACAGGAGTCCTATGAATTTTGGGAACTCTTCACCTCCCAAAGTCAGTCCAACCCTACAACTACCTGTGGCACTGTCCCTACAGTCAAAGCAGTGTAAAAGCACAGTAAAATGTGGAGTCTTGCAAGGGCCCGGCAGGTCCCAGCCACGTCCAGATGAGTAAAACCAGCTCATATCCCTTCTCTTACTTATCCAAAAGAAAGCACAGACCCTACAGAGCTGTTACAGACTTGCACAGCTCTGACTAGCCCAAGGTCAGCCCCAAGCCATGTCACCTATAGGGCCTACCTGTGCCTCCTGTGGGGAATAGGGAAGAGAGGACAAAGGAATACAAGCATCTTTTTTAGCACTGCTCTGATGCTAGGATTGCTTCCACCACACAAATGCAGCTGCTTCCAGGCTGCACCAGAGTTGGATTGTGTTAGGAAACCACAAAAACAACGAAGTATGGATTCTGATCGGAGTTTTCTAATCTCCAAACAAGGGAGGTATCTGGCAAATAAAACAAAGCTCCTTGCAAAGCCTGTATGCACAGATAAACCATCACATGTACAGCTCAGAACAATCCCAATCACACTGTAATACAGCCACAAATGCACACTGATACAAACAACCACCAGTCAGTACACTGCGTATCCTCAAGTCAGTAAAACATTTTAGAGTGAGAAAATATGTCACTAGACCTATTTTGCTTGAAAACAGAACATGATTAAGTTTGTGTAGAGCAAATCTTTAGGGAGCAAATTTCTTTGCTAGAGGGACGACAAACAGGACTTAATCATTAAGCAAAACATTTTGCACAGCTCTTGAAGTGGCAGGAGCAGGCTGTACGCTCAGCACCAGACTTAGAGAGCTTTGAGGCTCTCTGGTAGATTGTTAACCCCAGTGTTGGAAAAGTCACTTGGAATGCAGCAGTGTGTGCACTGGAGTGTCTTGGGAGATGGAAGGAGGACTCTCAGTGGGGCCTGCAGCTCAGTCTGGCCAACCTTTGTTTGAAGAGGAACAAATCAGGCTCTGGAGTCAACAGCCACTTGTGCTGCATGTGTTAAATGCCAAGAGGATGTTTCAGAGACTCTAAGGAACTGGGAAAGCGAGGAGACAAGGCATTAGAGTTAGGGAAAGAACAAGGAATACAGAAAACTGCCCGCAACCACCTTGATCTGCAAGCCAGAAAGGAAATCTCTTTTGGCCTTTTCCCTTCATGTTGGCCGACTGATGCTGCTCGAGGTCAGACACATGGGAGGAAGACGAGGCTAAATGCCTTCCCTTCATTCAGGATAGGGCTTGGGACTGCTGCCCTTCCACCAAAGCCTCCATCCAGGAGGATGCAGCCAGCCTCCTTTCCCTGCAGGAAGGACGTGCATCCTGTTAACTCTCCCAGCACCTGACTGTTGGCACAATGCAGGACAATGCAGTGTCACGACCACAGCCTGTGCGTGCAGTCAGTCCTTCACAAGGCTCCCCTCTCACCTCTCAGAGCCCAGCCATGCAGCACAGCCAAAACAGCTGCATGTCTTCAGTTTCTGCAGTCCAGAAGCCAGAGTCCGAGCAACATTAGGAGTCCCAAAGCCCAACATTTCCAGCTCCCTCCCTCTTCGACCAACAGCCCCAATGTCAGGTGTACATCAGAGGCAGAAATAAGCAGCACTGACCTGACCCTCTCCACCAGTCAATGTGGAAAGTCAAGCAGTATTTTCAAGGCAAATTTGGGGGAAGTTGGCAGCATTACACACACCACAGACATTTCACTCTTTCTCTTCCACACAGTCAAATCCAGACTGGAAAAGTGTTGCTAACGTAAGGACAATGTTCGTTTAAGGAGCAATCAGACAAACCTTCTGAATCCCATTTGCTTGCACATAGCAGCATTTAACTAAATCAATGCCAAAGAAAAGCTTTGCAGAGCCTAACAGCTCAGTGAAACGGGCTCAGGAGCTTTCCAGCACTTCTGAGCCTTTCCTATTACTGGGGCAGGGAAACAGCTGTTTCACGACAGCAGTTCTTGCCCAGCAGCCACAGGACACATACAATACCACAGCAAAACTCATCAGCAGGAAGCAAACTGAGAAGATGTGCCTCTGCTTTAGCAGAAGGTATCTTTCCCTCTACAAATAGAAGTATATTGTCACCATCACAGGAGCACTGTGAAGAGATCTGCTCTGCAATGAGATGAAGTGAAAGCAAGGTCAGCCTGAGTGCAGGAGTGGATCAACCCTATAAACTCCTTGGGATTTCAGAATAGCTCCAACGCATTGATGGGGATACAAAGGGGAACACACAGCAGTCAGCTTAACACAGAGTAGGTAGAACAAGGTAACCAGCGTGCAAGAAATAGGAGCTACAGGGGAGAGGCGAGAACTGTGGAAGAGAACATGATAGCTGAAGAACAGTCAAGGGATACCCTTTGGGCCACAGGACAATGACTCAATACCTAAAACTTGAAGAAAATTGAAGAGCATCAAAGAAGGGGAGGGAATCTATTGAAGGAAAGAACGTGGTGCACAAAACACACTAACAGGAGCACAAACACACCCTGCCCAGATAGCCTGCACTTTAAAGGTAAAGTCAAGGACTAACATCCCAACTACATACTCACACGATAAACTACATTAAATAGCTACTGCCTTAGGCAAACCTAACAGTGGGATATGTGATCTGCCCAGTGGGATTGCTCTCCTTTTCCCAGGAGCGGATGGAGTATTTAGAGGGCTGGAGACCATTCATGACAAGCATACGTAGCACTGATAATAGAATACTACATTTGGCCACACTGATCATGCAGGGTAACACTCAGCATAGGAACCTGAGATTAGGTTTCCAAGAACACACCCCACACCCCTGCACATGGCCCAGCAGTAACTCTGTGCCAAACAGGTGCTTTGGTCTGAAACAAAGACAGGCCACGGGGCAGAGCATTTTGGCTGCACGCTTTCTCCTCTGTACTGAAGTAGGTAACAGCTGGCTACAGTGCTTGCTATGTGCCAGCAGGCATGCAAGCATGGAGCTGGCTGCTTGGGAAGCGAAGCACCCAGCAATTTTCTGAGAGGTCTTAGAGGTGTGCTTACACACAAGGTGGTTGCATCCCACCATCAGATGCTCATGCTAATCCTCCACTTTAGAGCACACAGTGCTCCTGCTGTACCCCAGGGACCAGGGAAGCGTTCTAACCCTGTGGCATGAGACATTAACTAAAATACACTCACCCCAACGAAGGGAATGAACTTCTGCGAAGACTCCTCATCAGGGCTAAAGACAAAGAGAAAGGAGTTGTTAATAGCTTGCTTCCACGCTGGGCACAATACTCACTTTATACGTTGCATTCAAGCATGCAGCAGGGATGGACAGTATGCAAGCGCCAGTCCAATGTCTCCTCTCAAGGCCCCTTGCCAGCACGCTCAGATCTGCACGGGCAGGGAGGAGCACACAGCTTACAGCCCATCTCCGAGGAGGTCGTCTCCTCCTCCCTCCCGCTTCACAGAGAAACATGCTTTATGGCAGTACAGACACACGGCCTCCTGCTGCAAGGAGATGGATCTGTGCCACAACAACACCAACAACTGCGCGTTACTTACTGGGACCTGAAGCGCTCTGCACGGAAGGCCGTCACACGTCCCACCTTTGGAGCCATGTGCCATACCTTGCACATCCCAGCATCGCTAAAGCAGTTAGCCTGCCACGGGGTTACAAGCCGTGACACGTGGTTATTGGTACAGCACTGCAGGGACGCACGCGCACACACTCACACGGATGCACGTTCCCTGCCATCAGGAGCTTGCACAAGAAATGGAGTTGCACTGGGGAGATCAGGACACCAGCTTGAGAATGGCAAACAGCTAAACCAGACCCAACAGAACACACGTGGTGGCCTGGAGACACCTGAAGACAACACTACATATGTCCTGGAAGCAGGAAGAACATTACCCTTCCTGCTCTGCTCCCATCCAGGGTCCAGAGGGTGAAGACAACAGGCCAGCAAGTCAGATCTAACAGGGGCCAGAGAGAATCCACAAAGACTTGGGGAGAATCCAGGTGGGTTGGAAGGGCCCACAGAGCAACTGCTCCCCTCTTGTGCTGCAGACAGAGGCATGGGGGCTGCAGAGCACACCCATATGAACAGAGGAGCTGAAGTCCAGCAGAGAAAGTGACTGCACAGGAAAGGTACACAATGCTTCTCAGTGGCTAAGCATGGGAAACAGATAGGAAGGCAAACACCAGATTCCTCATGTTTCTCTTTTTGCACATCCCTCAGTGCTCAGAGCTCTGCAACATTCGGACAAAATCCTGCATCGCATTCACCCACAACGTTGCTATTGAGGGGCTTTGCTCCCTCCCTGCTCTTAATCCCAAGCACTGCATCTTCACTTTTTCCCTAAAGGACATCAAAGAAACGTCTGAACTCCTGATGGTGGGTTGGTGTCCAACCACGGATGCAAATTTATCTCTTGAGAGCACAAGACTTCCAGCTCCACTTTTATCAAGGGAAGGGAGAAACCCATACTGATGCTCAGAGAAGCTCAGCTTTCTCACCCTTCTTCAGCTCCACAGGCTACAGATCAGGCAGCAGCAAGTCCTGCCCATCACACGAGGGAAGCACAGTCATAACTTGATCATCTCACAGCTACTGCGTGGCTTTGCTCCTAGCTCTTCGAAAGCAAGTCTTGCCCAACTCCAGCAGATAAGTTGTTCATGCTTCCCCAGAGAGCTCCATCTCACCAGAGAGAGTAGAGGAGCTACTGTGCAATAAATCACTTGCTTCAGCCACGACTTGACACAGCTCACAGTGAGATGCAGGCAGTCCCAAGCAATCTGACTGGGTTTCAGCTGGGCTAGTCCTGTCGCACCCTCTGGGCAACAATGATCTTGTACATACACCTCTGAAAATGCAGCTTACCAGGAGAGCTGCTCTTCATGTAGATCAAAGGAGAGCCAAGATGACTGTGCTCCTCTTCCTCACTTTCTCTTCTTCGCTCTTTCCTCTTTCTTGTCCTTTGGGATCCCAAAACATTTATCCAGAATCCTCTCACCTTAGCCAGTATCTCTTCTACTCCTCCTACCACATGCATGGATACCCACCTTTAATGCAAAGCCAGACCTGACCTTGGTTTGTAATATTTTGAACTGTGGTTTTGGATACTTCATCTATATTTCTTAGGAATAATAAATCCTAAACCCATGCAGAGAGGCTAGAAAGAAAATCATCTTTATCTGTAATGGGTGGTTGTCAAATTACTGGTTTTGATTGGGTATAATCCTTCCACCTGCAATCAATTGTTCCTATCCAGGAACAGATTAGCATGTTCCCTCCCCACCAAAAGAAATTAATTCAGATTGAACAAAGATACATAGGCAGATTTAGATGCTTTAAGGCTCTTAGAAGTGAGAAGGTACATCACCAGGAGTCAGCCCCCTGAAAAAGGAAGAAATAATCTCTCTCACTTCTAGGACAAAATACACCTCAAAGCACGCTATTATCACAGTAAAAGGAACTGAATAATCACTAAGAACAGTTATGCCAGTTGTTAGGCTTTTCTTAAGATTTTTGTTTACAAGTTCCACCAAGTCTCCAGAGCTGAAACGAAGCCAAGGGACAAAAGGACTCCAGATTCCAATGACATTGTATGAGTGACCTCTCTGCTTCCCCATAAAACTCTCCTACAGTGCTCTTGGTGCTCCCACAGCAGACTGGCTGTATGTAGCAGGATTTCCATTGTGTTCCTTGAGCCTTGATTCCTTCCTCTTCCACACCGCTCCATCAGGCAAGGGGTGCAGGTAAAGATTTCCACTGCACGAGGAGGTTCAGGCAGCAACCAGCTAGGTGGGACCAAGTCCATCTTCACAACCTGTGTTCACGCTCAGCAGCTGCTGCAGGGTGCAGTTTAGAAGCAGCACTCAGAGAAAGGATCTGGACTCTGTGCCTGGCCACCATCCCGCAGGAGCCAGAGAAGTGCAACTGGCAGAATATAGCACTCTCTCTGCTTCCTATTGCCCAGGAGCCACACAGGCTCACTCTAACACAAGGCACTTTCTTGCGCTCCGAAGAGCAAAAGCTGTGGAAGTTCTCTTAAAACATGAGCTAAGAGCTTTTAGTGAATGACTCAGCCCTTTCCCTACCAGCGAGCAACACTCAATTTCCAATAGCCAGGCTGCTTCCCAGGTTCATGCAATGGCTATCCAGAAGCCACGTGGCATGAGCTGTGCTGGATGCTGAATTGCAGTGGCTGACACCAGCCCAGGTGTACCAAACTGATCAGCAATCCAACTGTGCTGGGAGTGAGTGGCTGCTGACAGATCTCTAACACTGTGGGGTTTCTTTCAAGAAAGCAGTGCAGAGAGATAACAACACTGATGATGCACCCCTAGTGGGAGGCCCACCTCTGCCAGCAGGGTCTCAGCTCCCAAACATGTCCTGGACTGCAGTGTTTCTTGACAATTCAGTACCCTTTAGTTCTCCCAACGTGCAGAGAAAGTACCAGTCACCCACTGTAATGCAGCTGAGTTGAAATGGCAAGGATTTTCTTCCTGAACACCTTTCCCCATTCCCAGCCCTCTCCAGGTCAGGTCAGCAGATGCTCCAAAAGAATAGGACAAAGCTTTTGCACCATTCGCAGTCCACCACAGGCAGTACATGCGCCAACTTCTCAGCATGACAAACAGAACAAGGAGATGGGAAGGACAGTGGAGGTCAGTCAGATAGGGACAGCTGGCAATAAAGTTACAAAGCAGCTCATCACATACAGCTATGTCCTAAGGACTGGCTGGCTGGCTTGGATTTCCTTGAATCTTGGGCTTGTTTAACAGAGCAAATGCTAGGATACTGGGAAATTTGCCTTGCAATGAATTTGTAGGTAGTGCTGTTGCCTATACACTGAGCGTTGCCTTGGAAGCTGGCCTTGGAGAAGCCATTCATCTCTGGCCTTGAGGGAGATAGAGTTGCAATAACTTTATGAACAGAAGTCAAAATAAGCCACGTCCAATATTAGTATGGTTTAAAGCAAGGGGTTCTTGTGGGCAGCTCATGGAGCACAATTCCCACCACTAGCATCCATTCTATCTCCTCTTAGGCTCAGGGAAGACCCATGTGCCTGTGATAGCCTGCTAGTATGCAAGTAGTCCTCAACTTTCTGATTACGGGGAGAAAAGTCATTGGTCTCCACTCAGACATTGCACAGCTGAGCCTCAAGTGGCTCAACTCCAAAACCAGGGGTCCGAAACATGCCCTGAGCCACTGAGCATCACCTAGAGCACTCTGGTTCGAGCAGGTGGGAAATGGAACGTCTGCTCAGTCCCAATCCTTCTAGAGCTACACTACATCCTCTGACACTGCAACCAAACAGTGAGGATTGACTAGGAAGTAGGGAAGAAAGACACCTACTGCTCAAAGCTACTTCCTCCATAGCTCCTTCATTCCTTTCAGCCTACGCCCTGGCAACCCATACGCGTGGCCCAAAGGCAGAGCAGTTCTTTTAGTAGAGCATTCTGCCAGCAAGTGCCATAGTTTCAAAGCAGCGAGCAGAATATAACCTTAAGCACATATTGAGCATCCCAGACTTGCACGAACTGTTAAACAAGGCACAAAAGACCAGCTCAAGGGTGGAAAGGAGACAGGAGATGGGAGAGGGAACCTAAAAGGAACTGATACCTTAGAGTAAAATCAAAATGAAAGCTCTTTTTCCTTTTCAGAAAGCAACCAAAGAAAGAGATAAATATGTTATTATACTTACAACAAAGCGATGCATTCATTTAGATAGTGCTCTTTTTTCATAACACTCTCCCTAAGAGCTGCAGTTCTAAAAAAAGCCACGAGGAGACAACTGCCCATTGCTCCACAGGACAGTCTGTTCCTCTGGCTCATCCTTCAGTTTACTCATGTGCTGCTTAGCTGAAAGTGGAAGTTGTTTCAAAGCGGAAAGAGACACTGAAAGACTATGGGCTACGCCACAAGCCTGACTTGGTCTCAGTGCTCTCTTCCAAGCAAGCTCCTGCAGGGTTTGAATTCACAACATCACATGAACCTCTCAATAGCGTCAGGCATTGTACACACATTCTAAAATCTAAATAGATCAGACCAGCTTGGTAAAGAGGTCACATGCACCACTGTTGAAAGTGAGTGTTGCTAAAGTAGATTTCAGGTGTTTTTTCAACAATATGACCTTTTTGAGCACATTAGACACTGAAATTGATGAAATGCGCATTAAATACAGAAGTGAATCTGTAATTGAATGGACAAAGCAGTGAAGAATAGTGCAAAATCCAGCCAGTTAAGGGTGCAGAGAAAACAAAACAGCTACCAAGAAGGGTTAACGTTGCACTAAACTCTGTGTTTAACTAAGGTAAGTCTTCACACCAAAAACAACAAAAAGCTAAGAGCTTTGAGCACCCTCTGGCTCTCCAAACTTCACTTTTATCAGCACAGAATTAAAGAAGATCATGAACACATGAAGAGAACATAGTCTTTAACAATCGTATGGAACATTTTTGTTTAGAAAAGCATTATGAAAGAGCTAAACTTTATTGAAGCTTGTCTGCAAAGTAAAAGTAAAGGACAAAATTCCAAACAGCAGTGAACATTTCCAAGACGAGAAGAAAAATGTAACCATCCACACTTTTAATTCTTCCCTGTTCTAAGGCAAACAATGCACCAGTGATAGTAATCAGATATAATATAGGAGGTGTTGCTGTTAATTAAAACCATCCATGCCCCACAGGAGATTCCTCAGCATAAATGGAGAAAGATGACTTGATGTAAGTGTTTGCTCTGCTCTGAAAAGTTATTGTGATTTGTATTAATTCAAATTTATTATTCTCCACTGGGCATCAGAAATAATGCATTTCTCCCTCAGTGAAAAATCACTCTTCTTCGTGGATAATGGCTGTATGAGGGTGTACATACTTCTAAATCTTTTTAGACCCCAATCCTCCTTCGGACAGGCTGCTTATCCCGTCAAAGAATTTGAAATAAAATCTGGTATGGAATGCCACAGCCCACAGCCTTACTTCCCTAACTCCCAGGTCTCCAAAGAAATCACTGCACGAAGTAACCACACCGTGGCAGACTCGCTGTTATCTATGACTGCAAGCAGGGTAAGATCAGGCTCGCAAGATGTCTGCAGTTCTGAGTGATTTTAAAACTGCGAGTACACAAGAGAAGAAAAGCTCTCCACTTCCATTGTGATGACCATTCTGGAAAGCCAGCATTATGTTAGTAACATACCTTTTCTGCTTGTACGTAAGCATCGCTTCTGCAATGGGCAACTGGTGTGCACAGTTTGCCCCTGCTATGTACTGCGTTATTCGGGAGACAACATCAAGCGTTTCTGTAACTGCAACAGAGAGGAGAAAATCAATAAAGTGACTTCTCAGACCATCACTACCCTCCGTTTGCTCAGCCAAGCACTTGATGACATCCAGCTATCTGCAATCAAACTGCATCTTCCAAAGGAAGCTGTGCAGCCCACTCCAGAGCACTGTAATGCCATCTAAAAAAAAAAAAGGAAACATCCTTCAAGAGTACCAAAATGTAAACATAAGGAAGGTACACTACATATACAGGCATCTGGGCACAGTATTAGTTATCAAAGTATCATGTTACACTTGTTAAAACAGCTTTCCTTTGAAAATGTGTGCCTGCTCAGCCAACTTTAGACATTTCTACATATCTTGACTGTGTGTATCTGCCAAAGAAAGTGCCTGGCATCCCAGAGCCCCCAGGTACCTGCTGTGCTCACACCAGCATTTAAGTTTCCTGATTTCCCTGTGAGCTCAACAAAGACATGTTGGGATCATTGGAAAGACCAAGAGCCATGCAAGGACAGGAAGAGCACGAAGACCACTTCTGTAGCAGCGAGTGTGCCGGACATCTGTGAGAATGTGCTTGATTCCAGTCAACAGGAAGGCATTTCCAAATACCTTCCCCATCGTTTTGCTCCAGGAAGAGTGTCTCAATTGTGAAATCAAGCAAAAGCAAGCTACCTTCACTCAACACTTGTGTATTTTAATGGGTATTTTTACCCAGAGTGTTTTTTTGTTGTTGTTGTTTTTTTTTTTTTAAATTATTTGAACAGGGAACCATGAAGAGCTATCATTGTTGGCTAGATCTTGCCATGCCATCACAGAGTTTCTGAGTAGTTTTCACTGTACAGATGAAAATGGAGAATCTACAAGGCCTAGATGGCAAGAAAAGTGATGCTGTATTTTCCTCATAGCATGCAAGCAAGTAAATAACAGCTGCAGCATATAATCCACAGAGAATTTACACAGCTATTGAGCTGGATCTCTGTAATTAATGATACAACCCTAAAAGCCAGACACAACAGTCAAATTTGTATTGACACTTGTCTCTATTTTCAAGACATTAGAAGAAACCTGTTCTGGACATTCCTTCCACGAGTTTAGAATCAACAAAAAACAATGGCTGTGTGCACGTGAAGGTCTCTAGCCCAGCCTTCTGCTCCAGGTAGGGCTAACTTCACCTCTAGAACAGTCTGCCCAGGGCCTTGTCCAGCCAAGTTTCCACCTGGGAAAAGCTCCGAATAACCACTTGTAAAGATGTTCCCTTTCCCATCTCACGTTGGAGGACTTCCATGAACATCCCTGCTTCCTAGGGAGCCTCCGACACCCTCCGCAATTCCAACAGGAACACTGCAAGCTTCCACTCCTGCAAGTGCTCCAAAAGCCCTAAAGCATCTTCCTGCTCATGAAATTCCTGTGGAGGATACGGCTCCATAGCATCACTCCTCAGTGATCAGATCTCAAGCCTTCAAACAGCCCTAAATGAAAGATACAAATCTTCCTCACTCATTTCTTTCGGTTCTTGAAGGAACAGATGGAAAAACTGTGAGCATTCATATTTGTGCAAATAAATACTATTGCAAACAGTAAGGTTTTATCCTGCCCTAGAACAGATTCGGACCAGAGCAGGAAATTGTTGATCTGACCTAGGGCAGCTTTCACATGTAATAACACTGGTGAGGAACAAATGAGAAAGATCCTGCCAGCGAATTTCAGATGTGCCAGCATTGTCCTCCCATGCACCAAACAGAAGTCAGCCTTCACTAAGTTTACAGTTTTTCAAATGTTTTAGGCTGGACAGTTTCTGAGGAGCCACAGGAAGCACAGAACTTAGTAGTGAGGATCCCCACATCAAAGAACAAAGCTGAGAGCTATGTAAAAACAGCATAACTCAGGCACCGAGTGTCTTGGAGCCAACAGCTGTTTGCAAAACACCAAGTGGAGGACACGCAAGGGTCAGCATCTGAAAAGGGAATGTAGTAGAGGAAGGGAAAAAGAGGAACAAAAACATTTTTCTGCTTCCTCTGGTATTTACTTGACCTTTGCTAAAATTACTCATTCAAGCCTTTTATCCCACACAGGCTAGACACAGACACATGGTCTTACCAGTGGTCTGTGCTTCAAGTTTGTTGAACAGATCTCTCCAGGCTACATCTTGGAAGAAGTTGTTGTATCTATAATCTACAGACCCCAGATACTTGGCCACTGGATGAGAGCCTAAGAAAGAAAGGAAAATGTGACAGTTGTTCTCCCCAGCAGTGAATACAGGTGTGGCTTTTTGTCTGTATGGAACTGAGTTCCTAAATTAAACTACACTAGACACTCCAGAAATAAATTGCCTCAATTATAACAACATAATTTAGCTCAGCTTATCTCTACAAGAGCATGCAAATAGACTTCCTAGCAGAGAGACTGCTTCAGCACTGCTGATAGCTTCCAATGATACCTCCCCTTCCCCCACCAAGTTAAACTTTAAAAGACCAAGGCAAACAGGACTGGGAAACTGCTGAGGAAATAAATGATTTGGGAGACACAGACCCTACAACTCTCCATCTCAGCTGCTCAGCTCTGCAAGCAGCTCTCCCAGCAGGCCTTCTTCCCCACAGCTGCACTGTGGGCACTACAGATGGAGGAGACAGACTCTTTCCTCCAAATGCCATTCGTGCATCATTGCTGTTTTGCAATACAGAAAAGGGGAAAAATCACTTGCAACTGGAAACCACCACCCAGGGAGTCTTGCTTAATTGGTGGAGAAACAAAATGACCACTAACTCAATAAGAAAATTGTAATTGAAGACAAAAGGATTATAAACCCTCGTCAGTATTAGCATGTGCATTATGTCTCTGCTTGTCCTAAGCATCATGTTCCTCTAGGAGCATGGATAGGGCCTACTGTCCCTAAGCGTATGTCCAGCCCTGGATGGAGGCCTGCCTGCAAAGTGCACTGAGAGCAGGAGAGGAGAGGCATCAAAACTATCACCTCTGCCCTGCCAGAGGCCAAAATACTTGTCACTTTCCTTTTTAGGTGCCACGTGTCCCCAGATCAGACAACTGTTCTTGAAACTACTGCTCCAGCCGATCAGCATAGGCGGGAAGGTGTTCCAGACCTGAACATTTCAGGCTTTGCTGTTTCCATACCCCAGTGTGTCTTGTATATTTACAGTCAGACATGAACAGGTCCCAGAGCCTCTCCTAATCAGCTTGTTTTCACCTTTCCTGTACACTGAATTCTCAGATGAAGTCACACTTTCAGAGACCACAGCGGCTGCAGCTTCAGCTGGTCATCAGCACCTCACAGCTCCTCCCAAAAAAACCTTGCTTAAATATGCTCAGCATCTACCACTAAAGCTCAAGGCAGGGAAACCCCATTGATGCTCATCCTCCAAACTAGCCCTTATTTTCAGACTTCCATAACCAGTTCCAGCAGGTTTCTAAGCTCCCTTCAGCATTATTAGAAACTGAGCTGTAAGTTCTTTTCTGGATAAGGGCTGCTTGGAGACTTTTATGTCTTCTATAGTGGAGTTTTAAAGAGTAAATGTGGAACAGCTCTGTCTCATGCACTGGAGAGGTGACAGCTTTCCCATGTGTTGGGCAAACACATCACACGTGGCAGATGCAGCTGGAAACAAGAACCAAAAAAAGATCTCTCAAAAAGTTCTATCCAATGGAGCTAAATAAAGTGCTAAAAAACCAAACACATGCAGACACAATAACCCTCAGCTTTTTCCCCTCTTTTTTACTCCTTTTCATCTGTTTCTTCACCAGTTCCAACATTAAAAGTGTCTTTCGGCCACAGAATCAGAAGCACAAAAGCAGGACTGAATCTCCTAGTACAGATGTTTATTGACAATAAGTATTTCTCAGTGTTAAACCACTACAGGCTGGCTCTTCTGTCATAGCAGCATGGAGTTGTGGACTAAAAAGCTCAAACCATCTTAGAAAAATAAAACAAAAGCAACTCTTTCCCAATCCTACTTTGAAGGTGCTGCTATCAGCTGAAAGTTTTTTCCCTTTAAGACATCCATGGCGTGGTCACCATTCTGTCTTTGGTGCTTTTTCAATTGTCAGAAAAAAGAGGCTGCTCCTCCATCACTTTAATGAGATGCCAGAAAGCTGGCCAGAAATAAGCATCTCATCTGACCAGGAAATACTGCAGACTATGGGGAAGGTCCTGATAGAGAAGCTTCTATATTTGAAGTACATTCAAAAAACATTCACAGATCTGAAGTAATTGCATTATAAACTTAGAGTGCTTTATTTTTATTTTTTTAACTATCAGTGTTTTAAGATTAAAAAAAGAGTCCTCCAAACATTATCTAAGCTTTATGTATCACCTTCAGAAAGGGAATATTTTCAGATCATTAAAAACTGCAGATGAAAAACTCCACTTTGAATGCAAGGTGACAGGCAGCATGTGAGAACCAAAATCCTCAGCCACACAGAGTCCTACTCAAAGCAAAGTTAAGCCTGCAGAAAATCTTTTTCCTCATCTGTGTTTCTACTACTTAAAGGATTCTCTCTCCTATTCCTGCTGACCCCTTTGGACACAAAATGCCCTTCTTACAGAAGGATCCAGCTCTCATTTTGTCTTCTCCACACGACTTGTCCAACTCTCACCACTATCTCAATAGCCAAATCCCCACTGCATGGGGTGCTGGGCAGCAACTTGTGGTGCCTATAGGAATGCCAGCAGCTGCTTCCAAACCTGAAAGGAGTGCTAGGAAAAGCACTTTCCAACATTACTGCCCCACCCAAGAACCCTGCTCACACAAGACAAGCCTCAGACTAGCCCAGCTTCTGGCCTCATACACCTACAATCACAGCACTGCCCAGATGCCCCTGTCCGTAAGCAGTAATGAAAGCCTGCTCCCCCCCAGCCTCTCTGCTATAACATTCCTCACATTTCTGCCCTCCACAAACCCTTAATGCTATTATCAGTCTGTCCCTGGGCATGAGGGATGCAAGCTAGGTTACTTCCCAGCCAGACAGGCTTGTCGAGCTGTTACAAGGGCTGAGATAAGGTGCTGGGAGATTGAGAGTAGAACCTGAGGAGAACAGCATGTGAAGGAAAGGTCAAAAGATGTGTGCAATTTGAATAATTTAAACTCTCAGCAGTTTCAAAGCCTTTAAAAATATTTCATCTTCCCACTCCCCCATCAGAAACGTTTTCTGTGTTGGCCTCAGAGAGACCACAACAGTTACCACCTGGGGAAACAGTGCTCAACGAATTGAAGATTTCAGCCAGAGAAAGGCCTTCAAGAAAGAATATTATTCTGTGCATTATTCACTGTATCATGATAAAAAGACATATAGGAGCCTGCCCATATGGGAGAAAGGACTCAGCCCCTTACTGCAGGCAAAACATTTACAAGCAGACTTCGACATCAAGAACGAAGATGAAAATTCACTCACACGAGCAATGCAAGCATCAAACAACACTATGACATCTTTCTCGTTTAATAGCCATACACTTGGTCAAAGCCTTCAGGAGGACTACTGCTAAGGGAACACATCACATTTAACTCATTCATCTTTCTATGAAGAAAAATTGTTCCTTATTTACCTAGAGGGATGATCAAAAATCGCATGTAGCCAAGCCAGTCTGGGGTTTTGTGAGACAGCTGCTCTACAAAGAGCCTCAATACAGCACTGAGGTAATTCTGGGCTCCGGCCACTGCAATTTTAATTGGGCTTGGAGGCTGAGAATTGCAGTTACAGCTAGACAGAAGAAGAGGGAACATATTCGTAATTACACTTCCAACCAACTATTTCAGAACAGTTAAAAAAAATTGGTTAATAACTAAGGTAGAACACAGCTCATTCAATACACAAGGCAATATCACAATGATTATCAGAAGCACCATCAGTAAAAAGCAACATTGCTCAGTACTTTCCTAATTGGTTTTCCTGACTTCTTTCAAACATTTTAGTAGTCTATAAGGGGTTGGACTCAACAGTCTAGGTTGGGATGTACCAACTGCTGGGTCAGAACAGCCTGGGAAATGCCTCCAGAAATTGAGAACATTAACTAAGAATTAATTAGATCTTGACATTGGAGGCAGGCTCCACAGTACAATCTTGTAATATCAGTGCTGTCAATGTAAGGAGACTTGTATCCCCCCACACAATGAGGAACAGCAACACCTTGCAGGGCTGGTGAGTACTGAAGAACCACACTACTCTGACTTCAGGAGAGTAAATGGAGAAGTATTGGAAGGGAAAATTATTGCTCCAGTATCAGATGGAAAACTCCCTGAGCACTTGGGCATAGGAACTGAGAGGCTTTTAGTGCTGAGGACCACAAGCCCTCCTTTCTAGAGGAGACTCAACAAGCAGAGAGGCATAACTTACTATCGCTGTATCCTGGAGACAATAGTGCTGAAAGCTGCTTGAATATCAGCTGAGGAACACGTACAGACCACTGGCAAGGTATGCTTTTGTAAGACATCTGACAGGTACTAAGGAGAGAACAGAACATATTAAAGTCCTTCAGATTGTCACAAGAAGAAAGTCTCATCTCCCCTACACTTCTATGAATCCTTACAACAAAGTGTGGGCATTCTCCCCATGACCAACATGTAGGTGACAACTCCTTCCCAAACACTTTTCTCCTGAGCATTAGTGAAAGAAAAGCTTGTCCTCTAGAAAGTGGAGCCACTGCATCTGCTAGACAAACACTAACACTTCCTTCCTCCAGGACATGGCATTTTTGGTAATGCTGACTCTAGGAGAGAAATTCATATGGCTGCAGAGAGCAGGGCAGGAGCAGCAGGCTGTCTGCCTTACAGCCAGCACAGGGTAAGAGCAGATGTTCTTTACTCCCCTGTTTGTGAAGCTGAACATGCAGTGCTCTGATTTAAAAAGACAAATGCAATATTCTGCCTACCCTCAAGTACTTAAAAAAAAAAAAAAAAAGCAAAGACACTAACAACACATTCATTGTGATTGACTGCTCCCATTCCATGCAGCTCAGAGGAAATACAAGTTAAAAAACACCGAGTTCACGTGGACATAACATTGATGAGACTCAGCAATTATCTCACATTATCTCATTGCCCCACTAACCCATGCACCACAGCCAATCCCATCTTTGTCTCATCCGATACTGAAGGCAATGCTGGAGGAGACATACACAACTTTCTCTCCAACTTTGGAAAACATTTCTCCAAGTAAAGAGCAGCTGGAACCAGCAGCTCAACTGGTATTTTTCATCTCTTACACACTGAGACCCCAGTCCTTTCAAAAGCAGAATGTGAAATCAGTCAACATACTTCCAAAAACCTGGTATAAGCCCACAGTTAATCAGTTTTCACGCGCCTCTTCTGTATACATTCATGACTCAGACTAAGGATCAGAAAAGAGCAAAATTTGTTCCAACACCCATCCAAATCCACTGCAAATGACTCCACATTGCCACCATAAGAGACAAGTGCTCAGTTCTCCTTAACAGAAGTATCACACACTAAAAAAAGATGTGATAACACATCCCCAGCCAGGAATCACAAGAATGCATGCAAGACAATACTGCTGAGCTATTTTCTCCTGTGGTCATCACCTGAGCCCAGGAAAATCAGTCTAAACCACAAGTCAGCCTTCTCTGCTTCCTTTGTCCCACCCTACCAGAGCTGAGAAGCAAATGCTTGAGTGCAAGAGTGAAGCCACACCCAGCGTGCTGCTAACCCAAAGAAATGGCATTTCATAGAACAGAAGAAAACAGTTTTTCCAGAGAAAAACTAAGTAGCAAAACCTTAAAAGATCCATAGCATCTCCTGGTCAAAGTGATCCAAGCATGCTGCAACTCCCCTGCACCACCACTGCCCTTCCAACCAGGGAGCAAAGCCTACTAGGTCAGTGGTAAAGCTCAAGACCGGTCCATTCCCAGTGATAAACAGCCAAAGTGAACTGATAGCACGTCTCCTGCCTTTACCTGTCCTTGCCAATCTGAAGTATTGACAAGAATAATGTTTTCTGGCAGCTGGTCGTCAGAAACCAGGATGTGATTTAGTTGGTCATACACAGTTTTCCTGGGGATCTGGAAATGAAGACACAGAACAGAACAGTAGGAGATATTGTTCTAACCCTCAAAGCTTTGTCTGTCATTGCTCCTTCTGCTGTGCACTTTTCTTAAAGTCACTTTATGCCAACTAACAGTAGCTCAAGGAATTCTGGATTTACAGAAGCCAGCAAAAATCTTTATCAAGGAGGGAGTTAACAGAGTCCCACAGTTGAAAAGAGCATTACACAGAGATACTTTACATAAATCAGTCTCCATTGCAAATCCTTGCAATTTGCCTTATTTCAAAGGAGTAATTCCTCAATACATCCCTATTTGTTACTCATGACAACAATCCATTCCAGTGTTTTCAGTTTATGGCTGGCTGACAAAGCAACAAGCTGGCAAAAACCAGCAGACAGGATGGAAGGTACAATATCAGCCAAGAAGTAAATTCCCTCCTTCCTGGAGCTGCAGGGTTCAGCTACTTTCCAGCAGGGACAGCACTTTGGCCAGAAGGAAAGGGACTGCAGGAGGCAGATGGAAAAGACAAAAACTGAGTGGTTGGATAAAAAGCAATATTTTTCACACCTGTAAGTGGTGCCGGGTGTCTGGAGATCGTTCATTGTCCAGGCTGTTTGCTCTCTCATTCTGTGGCCTCACTGGCTGCCTCTCCTTCAGAGATGTGCTTCTTCCCCGACGTCCAGTTTGCTTCCCTTCAGACCTGCTAGAAATAGGTGCTTTCAGTCCATGCTTGACTCATATCTGAGCAAGATTCATCCCCAAATTCCTGAATCACCCCCACCTGGCAACCTCAGCAATTTAACGCCAGGCACTGGAGAATCATGCATGGAAATGTGAGGCAGCAGGAAACCTGCTAATTCTGCATCTAATGGTACAGAAGTTACAGAGAAGAAAGTTCAGCTGCAGAGTATTCCAAGCAAACTTTCACAGCCCATATCAAGAGCCACACCACCACTCTGCTAATTGCCACACCAGCATAATGCAATCTAGCTACACAAACAGCAGACACAAACCCTAGAGCACAAAAATACCTCTTCAAAAAAGCATCTATTTTCTTGAAATAACCAAAGAAACTATATGGTTTCAACAGCCCACATTCACTCTGCCATTTGGGAACTCAGACTTAACAACTACCTTTAAAGCCAAAATCTGCATCAGACAACTTATCTTTGAGCGTGAAGCCCCAGAGTAAATGGTTGGACTACATGATCTTAAAGGGTCTTTTCCAACCTTAATGATTCTATGATCTCTGAGCAACATCAGAATAAGATTGCTCTGTGGCTCTTAGAATGCATTTATCAAGCACCCAAGTTCCTCCTCTCTCAAGCACCTGAACACAAGGCTGGTCTCCCTGCTTGACCTAAAGATCATACTGAACAAGTGATAGCAGGCTGTTCATGGCTTCCCAAGGAGCCTTGCAGCAGCTGCAGTGCTGTGTCACTGCTCTACCTGGTGGATGGGATAATGAGGGACTCCGTCTTGGTGATCTTCCCGCTGGGTGGGAGCTTCTCAACAAACACATCTGGTGCAGGAAGTTCTGCTTCTTGGACCTCAGCTTGCTGGTTAGACTCCTGCAAACACACACAGAACCACATGAGGAACAAATACTTCCCTCTCTCACTACTGCAAGGGCTTGCAGGAGACACGCCAGCTTGGCTCCGGCTGGGCCACGTTCAGCCTCTTCCTTGCAGACACACTGCTCACTGCCAAGGGGACAAGCCAACACTGGCTATCTTAGGCTCCCTGTTCTTAGTTCTGCCTCACAAGGGAGCTGGAGGCTGAAAAGGTGCTCAAAAATACTACTTTGGAGCAGGCACTCTCTCAACTCAAAGCCAAGGACAAGCTTCCTTATGCAACACTGATTAATTCAGTTTACCCAAAAGAACCAGTGGAGAGAGAAACACATAAGAGAAAAATTACAAATAGCATATCTTCAGAAGAGCAAGTCAAGCTTTGGGATTTTTTCCCAGGACCAGCCAATTCAAACTGAAGGTGTCTGTCTGGTATAATGCACCAGCTTTGAGGATACTTTTCATGACGAGACACATGCTCAGTAGCATACTTCAGGCCAGCTTTCTTCAAATCAAGAGAAAGACTGTTTATAAATGGAAGGCCATGTAGAGCATTTTAATTTCAGAAGGCTGAAAGATGAGAACCTCTGACAACTGAGGTCAGGAGGAGAGCCCAGCACTATCATCACTGCAGCTAATGTAATCTACACAGGTTGTGATGCATATGCAACTATAAGAATAGACAGACAAGCGCTACAGAATGCAGTTCACAGTTGACATTCAAACTGCCAAAGTTAAGAAGCGACTTTCCAACTTACAAAAGAGACAGTGTCAGAAATACTGTCGTCTGCGTGTTTGGTTCCAAGACTCTTTGTCTTTTCAGGCACTTCTACCTGCTTGAGAGGAGAAAACCATTAGCAGGTTCAGCAGCAGCACAACTTTTCAGCCACACTCTCTGGATCAGATTGTTTGAAAGACAGTTTAAACATTGAGCAGCTCTGCAGGAGCACTTAGGCTCCTACCAGAACTGAATGCATTAGTACGGGACGTACCAAGGCAGCAGAAAAATCCTGCAAACATATTTAATGCAACAGTCACATTTAAAAACTGGGTAATGAAGGCCCATGAGAAGATCTGTTACCTACCCAAATGATGCAGGCACTGCAAGACCTCCCTCCCAGGTTCTACAGTTGTGGTACTAGACACAGTTAGGCATCACCCAGAACAGACTGCCCTGCAGCTGCTTCTCAGAAACAACCCTGGTGTTGCCACAGCCTCCCAGTGCTGCCAGGACCTGGCACGTTTTTGGTGACAACACAGAGGCAGATCAGACAAGGGATGCAATGGGTAATGGTCACAAATAAGAAATGTGTGTTTGGCAGACCAAGGGAGGGCGCTCAGGGAAAGGCCTGTACAAGGAGCCTCTATTCCAGGGCTTCTGGGTGCAGAGAAGTTAAGTCCAGACCCTGTGCATGTTCCTACTTCCTACCTGGGAGGAATGTTGCTGATTAGTGTTGTGAGGTGCTTCAGCACCTTCCCCCTTCGTTCAGTCTTAGAAACTCAGCACCTAAAACCCTCAAACAGATCTAATAACACTACATTAAGAAATGTACTACACCATACAGACTATAAAGAGAAGTCCTCCAGAATTCGGCTGTGCCTAGAATGCTCATCTAAATAGGGATGAGAAAGAGTGAGCTCACTAGCCTTCAGAATTCTCTCCCAGCCATGAAAAGGAACACAATATAATGTGGTAAAGGCTTCCCTGAGCACTGCCAGGGAGTCCCTAAAGCTCCCAGGCAACATCTCCCACCCCGGCTATTGCAAACACATGGGGATCTTGAGATACTTGTACCACTGGCAATTATTCAATACATAAACTGAAGATGTTCACTTGAGTTAATACTTTATTTGCATTAAAAATAAACCAAACCACGCTTTCTTCAGAATATTCGTGTCTCTGCATCCGAGTCTTCAGAGGAGGTCACAGATGGTGTCTATTTACACGTATAAACAGAGATGGTGCAGGTAACAAGGCTGAACACAGTAGGAAGATACCAGGCAGTCAGAGCACTTTAATTTCAAAAGGTATTTAGGTGGATAGACCTTGAGGCTGCTATATCAACTACAGGCAGATAACCTTCTTGAAACGACTTACAGGACTTGATGGCTCTCTCTGGCTCCTGATGCTGTGGATGCTACCGATTTCTGTCTGAGAGCTGGAGTGTGACAGTCCTTCAAAATAAGGTCTGAAGAAGAAAAGCAAAAACACCTTCTTGTTATTAATAACATTAGCAGAAAAAGTCCACAGCAAAAGAAATGTGATTGTTCCAAGGTGTCCTAACACTCCTCAGTTCCAGTAAGATTCAGAAGCCACTTTTGTTCCTCTGAATGAAAGAAAGGAAGGGGAAGGAGTCTCCAGCATAGCAAAGGAAATAGGAAAGTCTAAGGACATCTGTCTAGCCCTGACACTGACTGACCGACCTCCATTTAACGGCTCCAACACATCAGCTGTTTCACATTAAATCATATTCATAAAGCTCTCACAAGGAATGTTTGCATGCTCTCACGCTACATGCCAAACAGAAGTTTTTATTTCCATAAAATCTGGGATGGGCCCACGGGACCAGCATTTTCACACTGCAGGACAGAATGCACATTAACTTCACAGAGGCATTTGAGTCTTTCCTACCCCAAGCACCAGGTGCAAAGTTTCACACTGAGAATTTTGTTTCAGCTCTGCAAATGCTGACTGAACAACGTGCCATTCCAGGCAAGGTTTAGCTCTTGATGGAAAGACAGCAAGTGAAGGAGAATTACTGCCCCCCCACCCATACTCTGCTCATATGAGTAAGTGACTCTTGATGCTAACATGCATTTTATTTCCAGCTTGCATCTGGATTTGGCTGCCAGCCTTAGGATCCAATTACACATTTGCTCAATAAGATAAGATAGCACATATAATCAGATTGTGCTTCCATGTCAAAAGGCAGATCATCACAGAAGGCTTCAAGACTCAATTATGATTTAAGGAATTGATTCATTTTTTTTTCCCCAGGACAAAAAAGATGCCTACAGCCATCAGCATTTATCACGTTCCTTTCACAATATGAACATAAGAATCAGAGAAGACAAAGTGTCTCCCCAGGAGCAATTAGAAGTGATCCCTGGCTCAGTTACACAAAGCTGCCAAATATCAGCACCTACAAAAGCTAGTTCAGAACAGGCTTGGGTGTATCTACCTATGCTATGGTCAGTTCCCCTTGGGCTCTGAAGAACTCCTTTGTTTCCTGCAGTTCTGATTCTTTAGTCCCTATGAAAGCTTTTTCCACATAAGATCCTATCATCTTTCCCAGAAAGATTGCCTTGCCTATCACAACTTTCTGCCTCTGCATCTTCTAACTGTTCTGCCACAGCACCAGATTTCCCATCTGTTTCTACCACCTCTTCAAAACACTTGTGTACAATTTAATTCCACTGTCTTCCTGTCAGCAATTCCTACTCCTGTTGTCAGGTGGAAGGGCAAGCAGAATAACTGCACAGGGAACTATTTAAAAAAAACATGAAGGGAAGTTAGCTCACAAGCAGTCATTAAATTATCATAATGTACACTGGAGCTCTGACACCAGGTTGGGGAGTTGTGGTAATAAGATGGAAGGGTGTGAATAGAGCATCTAACCTGTGTTGATACTGCACACTGTCTTCTTTCAGTTCCAGCTCTTGGGAGACTGAGTCCCAGACAGCTGCCCAAACTGACTACTCTGCAGGGGACTGCCCAGCATCAGCCATGCCATACTTACTTTAACTTTGGCTTTGGAGTGCTCAAAACACTGTCATCATCTTCCATTTCTGGCCCACTGTCACTGGGGTTCTCTATATCCAACGTGTCATACAGAAGGTCCAAGTCCTCCTCCACCTCTGGAACATGCTCTGCAGGATCCTGCTCTGAATCCAGAACCTACGTGCAGGAGAAAAGTAGGCATTGTTCACTAGGAGTCAAACAGATCTGGTTTCACAGGAGATCCCTTCATGGCTGCAGTGCACCAGGCTTAGATTCTGTTTCTAGTGAAAGGATACTATATCTAGCAGAAACATTAAGCATACCAGGAGTGCTTGCTGAGGGCAAAGCTGTCAGTGTCTGGTTAAGCAACACTTACCTATTAGGTTAGGTATCCATGGACAAGCTATTAACCATATATCATGTCAATCGGTCAATCATGTTCTATAAACAAAGCCTTAAGAAGGCACCCAACAGAGTCCCAGTTTTCTTAGAAAAAGTACAGAAATGTGGTACTGCAAAATGAGTATTGCATCTTGAGTATTCACCTCCTGATTTTGTATGTGGTACCCAACCAGGCAGAAAAGTAACAACAATGTCCACAGGAGGCATCAGAAACCTGGACAAGGATCAACTGCAACCCAAACATAAATCTGAAGAAAACACAAATCTCACATCAAAACTCCCCTAGGTTTCTCTACACATACAGCATAAGCATACAGGTATACACAGCTCTGAGTTTGCCCTTCTAATAAGAGCTCCAGAAAAACAACAGCTCAGCTGGCTGAGACCTCAGATATGGGTGCTGACGCTGCTGAGCTAACTTGGGAAGAATAGCAAAGCTAACAGGACTGTTTGGAAGCATAAGAAAGCATGAGGAGTTGCTCTTTCCCACAGGCCGCAATATCTGCACACAGACACAGCTAAATGAGTGGTTAACAGTTTTTATATTAGCTACTTAATGTTATGCAGGCTCTTGGGTTCAGGACCTCTTTCATTTTTAGCTCTGACCAGAAAACTGTATTTCCTGTGGATCTATGTATTGAAATTTTTCAAGTCTTGCCTGCTTAGTAAGATTATCAAAGCAGTGGTGATTTAACTTCACAAGCAACATACACAGCACACTGCTTGCCTTTGAATTGGTCAAAGACAGTTTTGAAGACTGCTCTGAAATTAATGGGTAAATAAATGTTTGCCAAAATCTACACTTGATAAAATTTGATCTAGAAAACTTTTGACGACATTTTAAAGTTGGCCCTCAAGCCTCCATGCAAGGTCAGGGTACCACGACAGATTATATCAACTGCAAAATGAATGGACCCTGGGAGAAACAGGAGAATGCTCCTGGGGACTACAGCAGGGATCACACCGAAGAGGTGAGAGAGCAAAATGCAGACAGAAAGGTTCTACAACACATTACTCACCTCATCAGACACTTTAAATCTCTTCAGCAATGCCACAACCTTCTGCTTGAAGTTCTGTTGCTGCAAGTCAAAGACATTTTGACATGAGTAAAGCATCACTGAACTGCTTTCTCCCAGTGTGTAAGAAGCCCAGGCACATGACACTGGTGCTCTAGCTGCCACTTCAAGTCAAAAAGACTGCTGGCACCACAAACCAAGTCCCTGCTGTTAACATATTGAAAACAGCTTTTCCAGACCTATGACACTTTCTATACTGCCTTACAACAAGCTAGGTCCTACTATGCTAAACCTAAGCAACCTTCTGGTCCTGATGAATGGCATACCACACCTGGTTGGACGCATAGAGGACAGCAAACTTTTGGCAAGCATCTGAGAGTCAACTTTTCTGGTTCTTAACATAGTGAAACAACATACACATCTATCCACTAACTCAAAGCACAAATGTAGTTTCTAACAACAAAGCACTTCTTTACCCTGTTGCAGTTCAACCTAGCAGGCTTGCTTATATGACTAGTACCACTGCAGAAAAGTTGTGAGGCTTGTTCTTACAACCTGCCTATCAGAAAAACATTTTCTAAGTCTGACATTGCCAGATTCCAGACAAAGCAGTCACCTAACCCAAAAGAACACAAGCCAAATCGTTGCACTTCCTTTGTGTATATTTGCTCATAAGAGCTGTTTTTCTCTGGTAGAACCAAACAGCTGAGATTTATTATGAGCTACTGAGCCATTCTCAGTCACTGACCAAACTAATATGTACGCTCTTAAGAGAAGGTACAGGAGACAGGTGAGAGAGCTGGTACAGGGCATTTAAAGTGGTATCCCTGCGTCAGCAGGAAAGGCAAGAGAAATGGTTGGCACCAGGCCACGGCTGGGTGAAGAAAGTTGTTTGCTGGCTTGCCTGTATCTCATGGGAGCTTCCCTAGTAAACTCTACTGGTCCCACAACTCCAGCCCTAAGCACTTCACAATGTCCAAGTCTCCAAAATTCACCTTTTAACACTGCACTCAAATCCTGTAAGCTGCTGCCACCTTCTTGACAGCTGAAGTTGAGATGAAATGAAAGGTTCAAACAAGACCATTCAACGAATGGTCCCCATTCACTGACAGGAATGAGATGCTCTCTTTTTAGAGTTGTCCTTTGACTCAGGATGTCAAGGAAAAACATCCATCATGCAGATCAGCTTGGACCAGCATGGCACTCTGCAGAAGGAGCACACACAACAGACAGTAGCTAAGGCAACATGGCAAGAGTTGTTCTCTGGCCTGAATGGTCTGTCAGTCAGAATACAGGAGACCTGCTGAGGCTGATGTTAAATTTACTGGCAGCACCTAATCCAGACTTGCACCAGCCCTATGCACTGGAGATTCAGTGGTTCAGTGGTCAGGGACAGAAAGACATTCTCATCATTAAGTTAGTAACCATGGGGTCACCTGCTGTCACTAATGCCTGTAAACAATATTAAAGACATCAAGGATATGAGGTAGTATGCTCCTAATCTTATGTAGTCTTTTTAATCGCAGGTTCAGATCAAAAAAGTGTTTATTCAAGATCTTTTAAAACATGGATTTGAGAAGCAGCTTTGCAGAAGGTACAAATCATCTCCAAACATATTTCAAAGTCCAAAAAAACCCCCACAAACAACAAACCTAGCCCATCCTTGGCAATAGCTCAAAATCACATCACAGACATGCACAAACACTGGTGTAGGCAGAAGGCCACATTGTGCATTACAGTGCAGTCAAGCGCAGGTCAATGCTCCACATGGAAGTTCAGTTCTGCAGGCAAACACATGCTTGCTGTCAGAGAACAGATGGCTGGCTGCATGCTACTCACCAAAGCCTTCAATATCCAGCTACTTCTTTGGCCTCAACATGCATCACCTCAGGTTCATCTGTTTGGCTCCAGACCCTAACTGAACTTCATTCTGAAACTTTCCCATGGGTCTCTCCCATGCAGAGCACAAACAGAAGATCTTTCCTTTGCTTAAGCCTACTTTCAGGATCATGTGAGCACAGATCTTGCCCTGGCTTTGTTATGGGGCTGATTTTCACATACTTCTATGATTTTTGGAGCACCCTAACCTTGCTGCTAAAGAACACTCAAGATACACACATCACGGACTGCTCCACTCCTTGATCTGATAGCTTCTGCTGGCTCTTCACATACTGCGACCATGCCCCCAGGCTCCCTGCCAGCATTTCTAGCACTGCTGCTCCCACAGGCCACATGCACTGCACATCCTAGCCAAACCCCATCAGTGTTAGTAAAACTAATTTCCACCGACCCTGGTTATGGACGTCGTTCTTACTATCGATCTCCGCTGCTTCTTGGGCTTCCCCAGCTCGTACTCATCATCATCCAAATCCTGAACAGAAAGAGGATTCCTTTGTTACCTTTGTGGTTCGGGAACACACGATCATTTAAGTCCTAACAACATTCCCTCTATTAACCTGCTGCTCTGTCTTGCAGACCTTCAGCATTTGCTTCATTTTTCTGCAGGTACTAAAGACTAAAATCTGACTCAGATCCCACCAGCCCTTAAGTTACAGCTGGGGGCCTGGCCAGGCTCTTTGAACCCAATCAGCATTACAGAAATAATCTGCCTTGACACAATTGAGCAGATAAATCCAATATTTTAGTGTTTAAAGGGGACTCAAGACAACACATAAGGGGATAAATCACAGCATGGTGAAAGAAATGGGTTGCTGTGCATCTCCATCCTGCTACTGCAGCTCAACATTTGGTGACAGTCTCACACTATCACAGCTTACCCAAGGAAACAGACTTATCATTTCAAGCGGAAGCTGAGAGTACATGCTCTACAGAAGCTCTCACAGGAAGAAGCCATGCCCTTAACAGTACCTGGCCCTGCACGGCATCATCACTGGCCTCCTGCTCAGAAGAGAAGCTCTCATACTCCTCCTCGGAATAGTTATCTGAAAGGAAAGAAGGGAGAGATCCCATGAAACTCCTTTAATGCTTAGAGAAAAATCTCATCTGAAGAGCAGAGAAAACCAACTAACAGTCACAAACCAAGAAAGGAGGCACATAATGAAATGCTTGCTTCTTTATCTTTTATCTGTGTTAGAACCAATGAGATGGGAACATCCTGGAGATGAGGAACAAGGAGAAACACTTGTAGTAAGAAGGATAGATCAACACAGAGATAAGACTCCTTAGAATACCATTCCCTTTTCTCTGGAAAGAATCACCTGGCAAACAACAGCAAGTAAGGCGTTTTTCCCACATGGGAAAGAATTTTTCCCCCTTAGAGAGCCTAACTATCTTCAGAAGACATGCCAAGAGAGTCTAAACTCTATTGAAATGACACTTAAGGTGACCTGCCTAGCCTTAGGCAGCAACACGTGCATCTGAATACACTGCCTCCAACAGGTCACTCTGCTGGCAGCGAGCAGAACGCTGCTACTACAGAAAAGGTGGAAGACTGTCACAAACAGAAACCCAAGTACTTTCCCACATAGTGAGCAACACTGGGATTTACTCTCATTAAACCAGATCATATTCCGTTTTAAAAAATGGCAGCTTTGTAGGCATTATGTAAGTTAACATATGTTGTAGAACAAGGAAGGAAAAAAAGTTAGAATAGCAGCTTAAATGTGCATGTCCTGAACGTGACACTGTTAGCCATATGAGGAGCTACAGGTTCTCAACACACCCACCAGTAATGCTGGAAGAGCACAGACCTAACTTGCTGGATGGCTTAAGTCTTGTGTGAACCTTTGACAACCCCTAGCACCAGCAGCCATGCTCCTTGCCTACACAGCAAAAGGTTGTTACAAGTTGGTTTTCTTTGCAGTAACCAGTTAAAGATACAAGCATAGGTACAAGCCTCATTCTTCCCAGGAAGTATCTAAGCTCAAGTGGAATTAACTCCAGTTAGTTCAGGATGGCATTAGTCCTCAGAGCATGCAGTTGTACTTCACCTGTAGACTTGATTTTCTGGCTGGCCTGCATACTGCTGTCTTCATGGTCAATTGGTTGACTTGACAAGGAGAAGATCCAGATTTCTGCTACCTTCACTGCAGCTTCTTTGATGTTGCTGAAAAGGCTCAGTACCTGGCCACCTTCTGTGGGGTGCTGCATGACCTGGGACAGAAATCACGCACAACAAATCTGCATTTAAATGTATTTAAACTTGCACCATTTGTATTCTGCAAGAGTTATTTATGTTAATAAAGTTACTCCAGATTTCCAAATAGAGAAGTCAGAGAACACCCTGCAACTGCAGGAGCCACATGCAGGCAACAGACAATGCCAGCTGAAATTTTAGTTGACTGCTAATGCAAGTGGTGGAAGGAAAGGAAAAATTTTCTGAGCTTAACAGTTGATTAGCTCACCCACAAAACACAATCTTGAATACCTCATTACTATGTATTTGCTTCCATGGAATAGTACTGATTTGAATCATCAAGTTACCAACCTTCAGAACCTTCACAGTTGAGGAACTTAAAAGCAAAAAAAAAACCCACCAAAATTATCAGTGGGATACACAGCAAAGTGCTTCCTAAAGCAAAAATTCCTGCTCCACAATCTTGGAGGAGATGGCCATACTGGGCTAATTAAGTGGTGACTCATAAGACATGGTGGATGCAGACACATCTGCATGTGGGTTTCTCACTGCAGCTGTCTTCCCTTTGACACCCACAGCTCTCAGAGCTTTCCTCAGAACCTAAGACTGAGGTTCTTCTCTTGTCCCACCAGACACAGCAATTGCTTCCCCATCCCCACTTGCCTGAACTTCAGCTTCCTATCACATACCAGGCTTTAAAATGACCTGAGCTGATGAGGAACATATGCCCTCTCAGGTTCATGCTTTCACTAACTTTTCATCACTTTGTTTTCTTTCAACTCCTATAATAACTTTGTGTGTGTCAGTGCTGTGCAGGGGTCACTTAACTATGAACTGCAAAGAGAGGGAGGCTTCTAAAAGGATACAGCATTTGTTTACCCGAAGTCTTCAATTTCTGAAATATTCCAGATGAGCTGGAAAGTAACTGTTTCGCAACAAAGCAAACTTTTGGAAATGCATGACCTTCTAACCTCAGTCAGCTGACATTACAAAAAAGACATAAGAAAAACCACGCACAGCAGCAAATGCCCAACACTCAGAAGCTCACTGATGGATCTAATTAATGGGGCCACACATTTTCTGCCTTACAGCAACAGTCAATTTCTAGCTCTTAAACTAAATGTGGTACAGGTTGCCTATTGGACTATAAATAAGAATTTGGACAGTTCAGATGAGGAGATCTACATTTAATGCAAGTCTAAGAGAAGCTTAACTTAAACAACAGAAGCATTCTTTATAATAAATTATTTAACACTGCAATAACTCACTACAGCATAACATTAATTTACAGGTAGAAACAATGGAAGTATTTATTGGCAGACTGCAGTCTGATGAAATACATTGCTGCTTCACTGAACCTGGAAGGCCTGTCCAAGTGACCTTAACAGCCTTGTTTCCACAAATATGAAACATTTTACATTTAAGACAAATGTGTTAGTTCAGCTCAACCAAACATACTAATACAAAAGAAAATGCATTAGTATTGAAATACACACAGAAGTGTTCTGAATGCAAAGGGGATTTGAGCTGCATTTGGGTTAGTCAATTTGGACCAAAACAAAAACAAACAAGATACACTCCATGAACACTGTAAGCTAATGAGCCTCAAGAATCCTTTAGCCTTCAATATGTTATCCAGAAAACGTACAATATTAGTACTCAGTACTAAGATCTGTTTAAAATATTGTTCTGTGAATTCTAATTAGCATTAAGATAGTTGCGTGAAATCCATCCAGGTACTTCTCAATAAGGAAAGTAATAACACTGGATTTAAAGTGATGGGAGAATCCCACTCTTCTAAGTATGGACCATGCCAAACACTGCTCACCTCAGCCATGTTGATAGACCCCACAGCCAGAGTCTTGTAGCCTAGAATGGTTCGGTTCTTGTATCGCTTCCGCCGCTGCAGCATGATCTGAAGCTTGTTGCCTTCTCTCTTCAAGAAGTGAGGGTACTGGGGTTGAAAATAGAAAGCAAAAGTTCATTATGTGCCTTGATTTTATCTCCCAAGCTGTCTGGTTCACAAGTAAACTCCATTCCTACACTGAACTAACCTTCAACCTGCAACCCTACATTCATTACCCCAAGGAAGAAATCATTTCTGACTCTCATTTTAAAAACACAGCTTTTGTAAAGCTCTGCCACAGAACCCAAGTGCCACACAAGGGATTAGTGGGCATGGGGAGAGCTCAGGTAATCCCACATCCTTGCTTTTGTAGTCCCAGGACAGGGGGCAGCTCAGGCCTTGTATGTCTGCATTACACAGAGGGTGAGGCACTGTGGTACCCACCAGGAGCTGACAAAACAATCCTGGTTGTTCTGTTTCAAAGGGCTGAGCCCAAGTCCAGTCCCAAAGAGACGAGCATCCTCCAAGAGATGGGCTGCAGAAAGGAGAACCTCATTGCAGAAACCCTAATTGCACACCGGATATTCTTAAGTGAAGGATACTTCGTCTCACTATTTTATTTTTTTTTCCACTTTGGGAAATTGTGAGAGTAACTTCCTGTCTCTTAAAAAGCTTGATAAATACAACTGCTGAGTGCCACCAGAAACCTGGAGATATTAATTTGTAGTCCAGAGCAGGCCTGACTGCTGCGCAGAGAGCCAGGAGCAGTGGCCGTGCAAACAAGCAGAATACTAATTAACTGATTGCTCTGCAAGGATGGGATTGACTGCCTTGCATGAGGCAGCAGCCCTGTGGAAGAGAGGAACAGCAGTCCATGTAATTAAAATGCATTTGCATCCAAACACAAATTTAGTGTGACTTCACAGATCCGTAACACTGAAGTTATTGAGGACTGGGGCTGGCAGCGGGCACTCAGAAGGCAAGAGGCACCTTTTGCATTCAAACCTCCCACCCTCCTGCAGTTGAGACCCTACCAAGTGTTGGGAAGGCAGTAGGGAAGAGGGATTCCTTGCTCTCAGCTGGAGGCACTGGGGTCCTCTGAGGCTGCTTAAGCATGAACCTGCAGCTGAACTCTAAAGTCATGCTGGGTCCTAGGCCAGTTTGATCTCAATGTCTACAGTTTTCTGGGATTCAGCTTGATGGATCAAATCCACACATGCAAGTTTCTGTTTTTCAAAGGTATGTTTCTTGGCCAACTCTGATGAAGATTCACAGAAATTATTAAAAAAAAGAGATCCAGAGACATTCAGGCCACTCAGCTCCTCAGTTAAAGACAAGGTCCTCTGGAACACCCTAGCCATTCTCCCTGCACAGCTGTTTTTAATTCCTGCCATCACTTCTCAGATCTACAGAATGGTTTCAACAAAAACTTTTTAGTAACTGCCACTCCATAACACAGCATTTGAAAACAAGACACAGGAAACCCCAAGCACTGCAAGCACCTCCAAGGGCAAGAAGAGGGGACCATCATACACACCAGGGAACTTCAGTTGATCCTAAGAAACTTGCAGAGGGTCAGGAAGAGCAGCCATTCCAGCAGTCAGGATGACAGGAGCTTACCTGCCAGAAAGGCTACTGCTGGTCTCAGCCTAGCTAGCTAGGTGAATCAGATGCACCATAGCTCTAGTCTTACCCCACCTGCATAACAGAGCACTGCCCACTCTGACAGCCTGCACAGTTTGTGCATGCATGCAGAGTACACAGGGCAAAGAGCTGACAGCACAATATGGAGATACTGGCTGCTGCTGCAAGACACTGAGGCTTTCTCATGCTGAGACATCCACATGCTTTTACTCTGCGGTCCATCACCACTCTTAAAATATCCCAGGCACTAAATTCAGACTGTACCTGGCTCAGACTATACTTAGCTAAGAGTAGCTTCCAGCCATCGTCCAATTAAGTAATAATAAAAGCTGTCATAAAAATCCTACTGTGCCATTTCAGGAAGGCTTCCCAGACCTCACTGCATCCAAGAGCACTAATCCTTCCTGCAGCAGAGAGATCAGCAGCACATCTCTGCACTAAGCTTGCTCATCTCACACACACTGTTCTGAAGGCTTACAGCGTCATGGACATCATTATCCCCTGTTCTGGCTCAGTTCCCATCCCTTCCTGAGAAAACCAACTTAAAAACAATGCTGTGTGTCCTGCTGCAGTATTGCTCTGAGTTGCTGGGAAAAAAAAACATGTTCCAAAACAAAATCTGCAGAAACATTTGCTGACACAGGATGGGCAGAGGGAGATCTGGCTCATTCTGAGGCTCTGGTCACAGTCACTGGAAAGCTGCAGTCTTAAGAATACTTACTCCTGGCACATGGATTTCTCATTCCTTCTCACAAAGGAGGGGATGCAGTGCTGCAGTTAACCCAGTTTGCAAGCAGCATCAGGACAGAACCAGAAACACCAGCTATCTGTATACCTTCCCTTGCAGTCCCAGGGTTATCATCTGTCTGCAGTGAAACCTCAACTACCTTGAGCCTACTCAGGGCTCAGAGTAACAGCCAGTCTGTCCTGCATCATCACTACAGTCCTTCTCAGATCAAACTCCAGATGACAAAATCTAACCCTCAGTTCCAAAATACATTTAACCTAGACAAGAATGCTTCCAAGCATCTGCTCCGTGCATGCAGGACTCTCCCTTGTGTTCACAGCTACCCAGCCCCTATTTTCCTTATTTCCCTGCTGAAGAGGCAGTACTAGGGCAGGATGCTCTGAGGAGAGCAGCCAACACAATACAGAAGGATCCTGAATGCAGACCCACAGAGCACCTCTGCTCACACAAGCGCCCTGGTGCCCCGTCCCACTTACCTGCAGTGAGAAGGTCAGCGCAAGCTCCGTCTCCACGTGTCCACTCGGGGGCAACACGATCTCGTGAGACCGCAGGATGCGCTTGGAGCCCTGCACAGAAGCAAAGTCCATGTGGTAAATCGCCCAGCCAGCCACTTTCTTGCCATCCAGCCCAAATGGCTCAGCCGTGGAACTGGAGAGCTCCAACTACAGGCCTTACTCTCCCTGATATTACCCACAGCTGCCTTTGTGCTGCCTCTCCCCAGCAGGTTCTGCAGGCAGGACTGTCAAAGAGCTGGGCTGCAGGTGGGGAAAGACTCTGGCCTGACTCTGAAAGACTGGAAAGGGTGGTGGGAAGGAAGACTGGACTGAAATGGAAATAGGCCTGGATTGGCATCCCACCTCTATTTAAACAAAACTGAGAAATGCTTTCAGAGACAACCACAGAGAAAGTGAATGGATGGATCTGACCTTGCACTTGTGCGACATATTAATGAGATGAAAGGGAGATATTTGACTAATAAAGATTTGGGTATATTTACTGTCCCTAACTGCAACAAAGCAGCTTTTGTTCTGCCAAACCCCAGCATTCAAAAGCTATGAGTCAGCCCCCACCCCTCAAGCTGAAGTCTCATTTCATGACTGCAGCCAATAGGTAGCAGGCTCTGCATCTCCTGGGTTCGCAGGCTGCAGTGTCACACATACATCTCTGGCATCAGCCTCGGTGGACTGATCTTTTTGTACACACACCCCTCCCTGAGAAAAGTGGAGATTTTAATCTATTTCAGGGAATATTTCAGAGAAAACTAGCAGGGAAGCACAACAAACCGCTGCCTAGTGAATGCTTCTGTATTGTTCAGATAGTGGTAAGTTTCAGAGGTCTCTGGCTCAATATTCTGCTGAGGTTGCAGCACTGGCTTTGTCCAGACAGGCTGATCTCCCAGAGGCACAGAACTGTAGCTCTCAAAAAAAACCAGCATCTGGGAAACCAGAGACAGACAGGGAGTAAACACCTCCCAGCTACATCCAAAGTAAAACTGAGTATGTCTACATCAGCCCCAAATAACATCCCAAAATGAGGGAGGGAGAAGGGGAGAGGCTGAGACTGGCTTACATCCCTTCCTCCTCACAAAGCCAGAATGCAGTGTTTTGCAGGTGCCCCCGGTACATCAAACAGCAGAGCAGGCTGAAAACTGAAGGGTCAACCCCAGCAAAAGCAGCACGTGTGCAAGTAAAGCACAGCTGGCCTTGCCACTGGCAATAGCAGCATTGGTTCCATGCTGCAAATCTCCTAACAGTAGCAATCTTGCTTTACTTGTTATGCAACTCGAAATCTAATGAAAGCCCAAATATAGCAGCTTTAAAAAGACTGCAGCAGATAAATAGAGCAACAGCCTGGGAAATACAGTTGACAAGTCTTTGAACATCAGGAGGGCTGCAGGGAGTTATGGGAAATGCAGGTAGTATGCTCTCATTAGGTCTAAATCCAGTCATTTCTTCTGGAAGGACTGCAGTGCCTGACACCTCTCTTGCAATTTCTCATACACAGCCAGCAAGTCATTTGACAGAGACCATATACTTGAAGATCCAATATCACCAGCTACAAACAATAGCTGTGTCAGAAACCTGAGTGCTGGCAAATTAAGTAGCCTTAAAAGAGCTTGTCAGCATCATAATAACCTGCAAGCCGTGAAGGAGGGCTTCAAATCTGCCTGCATCTGAGACAGTCACAGTGCTACTGCCCTACCATTAAATAGCACATCACGAGATATGAGCAATGATCGAACTGCAGTGCCAGGGACACCCAAGGTGAAGCTATGGGCACCCTCTGGGACAGCTGTTATTGCAGCCACTGTGACCTCAAGGCCAACTGGAAGGACAGATGAAAGCAAAAATGATGGGCAGGGATGCAAGCTGCAGCCCAGGACTTGGCAGATAAGCATTCCAAACTTTTCCAGTTACAGAGGACAAGTGCTTTTGCTTTCCAGTTCTTCAGGGATCTGCCCCACTACAGAAGGGACTGCAGAATAATTGCTCAGGTCTCAGTCTGTTACTTCCTGTAACAGGACAGATCACAACACGTTTTTAGAACAGACAAGAAAGTCCCAACTGTTAAAACTCGCTTCAGGCTTTTTGGGCTTCCACGTCTGGAGCTGCACATTCAACCTTTTCACCCAGAGAATGCGTAAACTCTTAGCAATAACCTGGATGAGAAAAAGCTTTGTTCTAGTAAAAGCTACTGGATTTCCCAGCCCAAGCCTGGCACGCCCTGTCTGTAGATCATTCACTGAGAAGCCTCAGGCCCTTACAGTGATGCACATGCTGACCTGTACAAACATATGGAGAGCTTTCAGCCCTGATCAGCAATATCTGACAGCCTGGGAACCCACAGCTGTGCATCTTCAGAATTCAGCTGTGTGAAACTATTCCCTACCTTTCTGCTCTCTGCTGTGGATCTGCGAACCCCTCCAACACAGAGGGACACAATTTTGCTGCAGCTGGACTGTTCACAGAGATGAGAGATGTTGGCTAAATGCTCAGCTGCACGTTCTCAGTCCACAAAGCCTTCATGATTTCACTTTCCAAGTTAGATTTGACACAAATAGATCTCTGCAGGAGTTTGCCTGCCTGTTTTTTTTTTTGAAAAGCAGCTGCTTTTCAGCATGGTTAATGGTACTTGTCTACTTACAGGTCCACTAGGCTTTTAACCAGTAAGCACTTCAGCATTTCCAGTGGTGGGAGCACTCAAGCTAAGCTGATGCTGTGACACACTGTGGAACTTACTCGCTTCCTGCTGCACACCTACCTCCAGGCAGCATGACCTATATGTAGAAACCTAATTAAGCAGCACAAACCTATGCTGCAAAGTAGGATATTTACCTAGGATGAGAGATGTATCTTATGGAACTGAAATGTACAGGCATCCAATATATCAACTGACAAGTACCTGGCTACAAACATGGCTTGGACTTCTGACAGCAGAGCTATCCATCAGAAGGAGGCTCAGCCTTCAGAGCCTCCCCAGGCCAGGTCCAAACAACCAAGATCTTCTATCCCAGCAAGCGCTGCAGCATGCTAAACACAAGCTTAGATTTGGTGACTGCTCAGGAAGATCAGGTGACAGCATATGATATGAAATGAGCATCTTTACCAACATATAAAGCTCATGCTGAGTCCTCAGTCTTCACTTACTACAATGAAATTTGGTAGGAACATAGGAGAAGGATCACAAGAGACTCTCCATACACACAAAACATCACAATGTAAGTGTGGGAAGTGGCCCACAGCCATGATAGACCTCACACAGAGGCACCTACCAGTATTTTTTTTTAACTCAAGTACCACATTTGATTCTTAGAGCTGACAGCAATTACCTGCATTTTGACAGCAATGACCACAGAAATAAGCTCCTTATCCAATTCCTTTAAGACTACCAGTTTCTTTAGTGTCAAGCTGCACAACCTGCAAACAGGAACAGAAGAGAAACAGTTATAATCATGTCTGAGAAAGGAAAAGCTCCGAACAACTTCCACACAGCAGCATCTCTGTTTGAGGAAGCACAGACTCCAGTCAGGAGCCACACAGACATAAAGACAGCAGGAATATCTGAGGCTTCCCCAGCTCTTCAGGCTGGATTTCTTCACACACCCCCAAACAGAAGGAGGCAGCCTGCGGGTCCATCTCACGGCCTGGTGCAGACCCATGGCCACATGGGAAAGCCTGCCAGCACAGACCTCGCAGACCGCAGCCTGGGAACGCTTGTTCTGTGTCAGACCAAGAGCTGTAGGGTCAGAGGAATTAAATTCCAGCAACGTAAAAGCAGTGGGTCAGGCTAATTTTAAACTTCTCTGCAAAGCCTTATTAGTCTGTTGGCTCTTTCAGTTTCAGGTTCTGGGTTCCCAAAGATCTCACTCCCACCTCCTCTTGCCAATCCTACTCATCCCCAAACAAAAGAGCTAGCAAGAGGTTCAGACCTCTCGAATGGGAAAGGAAAAGAAACAAAAGAAAAAGGAGAGGACTTGCACAGTGCCCTGCAGCCCTGGCATGCACATGCCACACATATACAGCTAACTCACATTCTTTACCCTGGCAATGCTGCATTGTTCTGGTTAACACTGTTTGCACTTCTGCCTTCCAGCACAGAGCACTTGGGAGGGGAGAGCATTTCCACTAGGTGCAGCCCGAGCTCAAGCTCTGAGGTAATGGGGCCACGATATTGGCACTGGCACAGTTTCACAGGAGTTACCAACAGCTGGTTTAAACACTAGGGTGTGCCTCAAAAACAAACTTGGGGGAGGGATAAACCTGAGGAAAGCTGCAGCCAGAGAAAGCTGCACGGGAGGCTATGGAGACAGACATCACCCATGATGCAGATGCTGGCCAGGAGCAGGCTCTGCTTCATGTCCAGGGTCTGAAGGAAGGAGGCTGTGATGCCATTTGTTTTCTTTGTGAAACTGTAGCTGGAGGACAATTGCCCCAGGCTTGCCAAAAGCCAAAAAGCTGTGAGCAGTCAGGTGGTGTGAGCAGAGGTAGCACAAGGCACTGGCATTGTCCGCCTGGCAGGAAGGGAACAAAGGCCCTCTCTGTGTGGCCTGGCTGGAGGATGGAAAAGGTACACGAGGGAACAATGGCGTTCTCAGCACACCCAGCAGAGCACAAGGAGGGCGTTCTGCCATTCCTCCAATTCATCATTTATGAGCTTTGATCCAGCCCCATGGATTGCTTGCTGCTGCTCAGAAAAAGGAAAAAAAAAAAATATATAAGCCTTCTTTACAGCTATCAGAAAAACAAAAGCTATTGGAAAAGACATGGGACACATTTGCTTTCTTTATCCCACTGCTGGACTGCTGGTTCTAAAAGGCACTTCACACAAACAACAATGAAACGTTTATACTCTCCGTTAGGAGGAAAAAAACAACATAAAACAAGCAGAGTTTAAATCTCACCAAAACACTTCCACCCTTAACATGCTTAGAGTTTCAGGTCTTCAGTCTAAATACAAATCAAAGCAATATTAAGAATACATGGCAGAAAGGGGCCACAAACAGTCACAAGAAGCATCTTCCAAGCAAGGCTGTGTGCAGTGCAGCCATGCCTGCCCTACGTGCCCTCCTATGCCTCTGTGGCTGGGATTGACACAGGGGGACCTGAAACAATCTTATAAAACAGGATGAGGTTACACTTGGAAGTTTCACCTCTATACGTGGTCTCAGTGAATGCAGGGGGAATAAAGAAAATCACACAGACATACGATGGGAATTGAGGAAGTCTCAGATCTGAAGCTGAAAGAGCCCGAAGTATTTTAAGTGGTCTATAAAAAGTCTGGAACCGCATGACAGCGAGGGTAGGCAAACACTTTTGTTGTGTGTTTACTTCAGCATTGATCTATGGTTGCACACAGGGAGCTCAGCTAGCAAAAGCACCAAGCCAGCAGAACCTATCTGCAGAAAGAGCAAAGGAAATCTGAGATTTCCACCTCACTTTGGAGGTCCACAGCAGACATCCCCACTCAGCACAAGCTGGGGAGCAAGGGGACTCATGTTCCCTTGGTCACAACACAGGCTGCTCCCTCCTGATCCCATTCCCCAAGTTAACACATGAAAACTAAACACATTCTACAACAATAAAACCTGGTTTTAAAGAGGAAACCTGGACTGGACCCAAGGGCTCCAATGTGCCCTGCTAAGGCCAGCTGTGCTGCATGGCTCCACCACATGCTCCTCATTTAGGCAGAAGCTGTGGGTACAGAACACATTTCAGTAACAACAATCCTGGCCCAAACAGGCTCAGAGCAGCCACATGAGGTGCTGAATTCTTCACTCATTGGATGCTCTGCTTTTGCATCCCTTGGAGCAGAAAGATCAGGAAAATAAATCCCCTCCAAGAAAGACTCACTGAATTAAATGTTTGTCCCTCCACAGGGAGCACAATAATTGCACTGAGACCGTGTTCACACAGAGACAGCCAAATCAACAGGAAGGAAAAATTAAAAATTAAAGACCTGTATTTTAATTAAGCCCGATGGAAGTCAAGAATAATAACAGAAGCATCCACAGCTACAAGGGCTCCAAGTACAAGACAGGAGCAGAAAGGCTTCAGCTCATGAAGCAGATGTCCTTGCGCAGGCTGAAATCTGCAAGATACTGTGCTTAGAGGCAACATTTCATTCCAGGAGCACTTTCCTCTGAGTTCTGTGAGCATGAGCCAGATGAGAGATACAAGCAAGGAGTCTGTGCACCACGCAGTTTCACTGCACCCTACGATTCTGTGAAAGTTAGGGACAGCAAGCAGCCTCCTACCCCTCAGCATTGAGTGTTCTGCACTTAAGCTGACACTTTACACTCAAGACAGTCCCAAAATAAACTGTGAGCCACTTGGAGGAGAAGTGGAGAGAGACACTGCCCACTCACATACCTCCCAGACAGACAGAGCCATTCTGCACATAGCTACAGGGCAGCTGTGTGGGGCAGGCTGGAGAGAGGAGCCCTGCACAGCATTTTTCTAATGCAGCTGTCTAAGCAAGGGATGAACACGTGCAGAGCACACAGTTTCAGACACCTGTTTTGCACGCGCCCAGGTGAAGGAGACTCTCCTGTCCAGCTACTGTGCTCAAATGCTTCATACTGCCTAATTATTTCAGGCAGAAAAACTGTTCTCTATGTTACAGATGTGTCAGAGTAGGGCCACTGGTGGTTATCAGTGGTAGAAAACACAGGAAGAGTGGTTCTTCACTCTACAAAACTTATGAGCCAATTCCATCAAATGTTTCTACCTTGATCCACTCTCAGGCTGCTTCCAACCAGGAGCAAATTAAACGAGACAGAGATCAAATGCCCAACTCCTTTCATGCCAGAAACATAACTTGGGCAACTAGCAGAGATGCATCACGGCCCTGCACTGGTCTCAGCTTGTTTCCCTTTCATTCACAGTTATCACTAAGCTAAATGGAATCTTTAGTCAGCTGTTTTGGCTACAGGTGCATTCAGGTAAGCTATAAGCCAGGAAACAATTACAGAGCCAGTATTTTCATTGTTCTTAAGGATCTTGAAATCTGCTTCCCAGCATTAACACAGAGAATTAAGCTCTTAAAATTCTGGAGACAAAGATCCATAGAAGTGCTGCAGCGAGCAGATCTTGTTCAGACAGGTAAGAGGATGGCAGCTTAATTTATGCAACAGGCTGCCCCTAGGACTTCACAAGGGCACAAGCACGCAGCAAGATGTGGCCCTATTACTGCTAAAACATTGTCCTATGCACTGCACATACTTCGCAAGTGTACCTTCTCCAAGCTGAGCATGCAAAAGGTGTGAGAGTGTCAAAACTTCACAACATACATCATTCTCCATGTGATTCCCATCCACGTGGGCGGGATATCAGCTTGTTTGTCACCAACCACATGCCTCCACCTGCACACTCCACAGCCACTGAGAAACTGACGCATTCTTTCCCATTCTGAAGTTCTTCACACGCCTGGCGACCTCAGCCAGAATCTTAGTTCCTCCACAATGGTCTCTTCATGCTTTGTTTGGATGGTTTCAAATCCCTCTACAGGATGACTTAAAGGAAAAATCACGAAGAAGGGCTTAGGTCTGTTCCTCAGACAAACAATGGTACACAAAGGAGTCCATCTAACCCACCTGTGTGTTTACACCACACTGCCTGCAAATCCAGGCACGCAGCTTAGCTCCATGCACCTCTCTCAACTTGCCTCCTTCAAATCCAGCATCCAGAGCACCAGGAACGCATGGCATCCTGACAGCACAATAACTGTGAATGAAGGATCCCACGGTACCAGTGGATCGAGTTCAATCAGCATTCTAAAAGTTCTGAGGGAATAGGATGGTGTCATTTAGCTTTAAAAACTAAAGTAAGCTAACAGCAAAAAGATGACTGATGATCAAGGCTCCTTTGACAGACCAACAGGATAACATTTCCTACAACACAGCTGACACAAATATCTCATATTTACTGTACTAATTTAATAGTAGCTGGAACAACCAAAGGCACCAATGCCAGATTCCCATTGAGCACGTGATGAGAGTGGTCAAAGCTGCACAACTGGGAGGGGGTGGCCTTTGGAATATGGGCTGGTGGAGGATTTTCTGTAGCTACGGCTTCAGTTCTCAGCTAGCCAGCAACAAAAGAAAGGCATGTAATGCTGTAACAGAAAGTTCAGCAATGATAGCCTAGCAGCACAGTCCCTGCTTACCTTCAAAGCTTCAAAGTAAGGCTGCTTACCTTCAAAAGACCTCAGATAGACAGGGATCTCTAGCAAGATACCCTCACCTCCACTGCCAGCCCTTTAATGAGGTCTGGAAAGGGGTGGATCCTGGCTCCACCCCTTCCATCACTCATGTGCACTGCACACACCTGAGCTCCCCTGGGTTGGCCCTGCCTTCCCACCAGGTGCTCAACCACTGCTTCAAGCTGTGACTTAGCATTTCTGCTACAAGGCACAACGC